TTTAGATTGCTTTGCATTTAGATTACTTATCAATGTTGTTTAAATCTCAAGAGGACCTTTAGGTAAATATCAGAGATTATATCAACAAAGTCTGAGAATTAATCTGAAATTTTAGCACCATCTACATCACTTATATGTAGGTTTTTTTTTTAAATAATAATAATATAATATACTATATATAATATAAAATAATATATAATATATTGTAATTGTAGAAGAACTTTTAGGTAAACATCTGAGATTAATCCAACATGTTTTTGAAATTAATCAGAAATTTTTGCACAATCTAGATCACTTGATGTATTTTTTTATGACGAAAATTTTGTAATATTCATGCATGTTTCGTATTAAGGTTCAGCTATAGCTATAGGCTGAAGTTATCAATTTTGACCCCGTCAGCAGAGACAAAGGTAACACAACAATATTTGCTAGATTTACTGGCTTAATCTTGTATATTTTAAATGTATCTGACTATGACCTTGTTAATGTTACCTGCAAACATTTGTTGTCCAAAAAAAATTTAATTGCCTTTTCACTTTAAATTTCAATCATGTTTCGAAAGCAATTCAACACTGCAAATGGTTAAATTTACTATAATTTTTTAATACTTTTTATTATTATTGGCAATATAAAATAGTTTTATTAATTTTATTTGTTACTTTTGTGCCCATTCTCCCCCTAACCTGTTATTATATTCATAACATATTCAGATTATTATTATTATTATTTTGTTTTGATTACTTTTAGATTACCTATCAACATACTGTTTAAATCTCAGGAGAATTTGTAGGTAAATATCTGAGATTATACCAACAAGGTTTGGGAATTAATTAAAAACAATGCATCATTAAGATCACTTACAGTTTAAGTCAGAATTATTAGCCCCCTTTGATTTATTTTTCTTTTTTAAATATTTCCCAAATGATGTTTAACAGAGCAAGGAAATTTTCACAGTATGTCTGATAATATTTTTTTTTTCTGGAGAAAGTCTTATTTGTTTTATTTTGGCAAGAATAAAAGCAGTTTTTAATTTTTTAAACACCATTTTTAAGGTCAATATTATTAGCCTAACCTTACCCTAATTACCCTAGTTAAGTCTTTAAATGTCACTTTAAGCTGTGTAGAAGTGTCTTGGGGAATATCTAGTCAAATATTATATACTGTCATCATGACAAAGAGAAAATAAATCAGTTACTAGAGATGAGTTATTAAAACTATTATTATTAGAAATGTGTTGATGAAAATAGAAATCAGGGGAAAAATAAACAGGGGAGCTAATAATTCGGACTTCAACTGAATATATGCACACCTTACTATAGTATGGTTAAAAAACACAAAGTATTTACTATCAATTACTATAGAATTTTTTCAAAAGGGAGGCGTGTGTTTTTGAAGATGGATTAGACAGGAGGATTCTGTGTAAATTTTTTTTTCCAGAGAAAGTCATCTTGAGGACAAATAACAGCTGAACATTTCTAGTAAAAGGAAACGTGAAAAAGAGAGATAAACAAACTTGCACTTAAAATTACAGTCTTTAGACTATTTTTAATACCAACAAATGGCTGAAATAAATCATTAAATGTATGAGTACGCAGTGACATTGTCCCAGTGTGTGTGTAGCAGTGAATATCTGTGATTTAGTCAATATGTGTAATTATCTACATTGATGCCTGGTGCTCTAATTTACAGTGACAGAGTGGAACACGGTCGAATATTTCCCTCTCTGTGTGTGTGTGTGTGTGTGTGTGTGTGTGTGTGTTTGTGACATAAAATGACACAAATTGGTGTGATGACATGGGCATTTTAAAAAAGAAGGTGACTTATGAGGACATTGTCCATATCCTCATTTTACAAAAAGGCTTATAAATTATACACATTTTTTCTTCAGAAAGTAACTATTTTCTGTGAAGGTTGGGATTAGGGAGGGTGTTAGGGTAGATTAATAGAAAGTACAATTTGTACAGTGAAAGTTATTGTGTCTATGGAGTACATTTTGACCCATTGCACTTGAAAAATTAATTTTTGCAGCTTGTTCAAACTACTTAGTTGATTTATGTTCAATCCACTTGAACTTCATTCATTCATTCATTCATTCATTTTTGTTTCGGCTTAGTCCCTTTATTAATCCGGGGGGGCAAGTTTTCAAGATGGCTGGTGATCATGGTGGCCATTTTGAACTCAGCCATCTTAAATCCAACCTTTGTTTTTTTAATAGGAAGAGGGTCATGTGATGCATCAAACTTATTGGGAATTTCACAAGAAAAACAATGGCGTACTTGGTTTTACTGTAACTTTATTCTTTCATGAGTTATTTACAAGTTTCCGACCACTTATAAAATGTGTTCAATGTGCTGCCCGTTGTGTTGGATTGTCAATGCAAGCCTCTTCTCCCACTCTTTACACACTGATAGCAACACTGCAGGAGAAATGCCAGCACAGGCTTCCAGTATCTGTAGTTTCAGGTGCTGCACATCTTGTAGCTTCACACCATAGACAATTGCCTTCAGATGACCCCAAAGATAAAAGTCTAAGGAGGTCAGATCGGGAGACCTTGGGGGCCATTCAACTGGCCCACGATGACCAATCCACTTTTCAAGAAAACTGTTCATCCAGGAATGCTCAGACCTGATACCCATAATGTGGTGGTGCACCATCTTGCTGGAAAAACTCAGGGAACGGGCCAGCTTCAGTGCATAAAGAGGGAAACACATAATCATGGAGCAATGTCAAATATCCAGTGGCCTTGAGGTTTCCACTGATGAAGAATGGCCACACTATCTTTGTTGTCTTTGGTGTGAAGATACACGATGTGCAGCACCTGAAACTACAGATACTGGAAGCCTGTGCTGGCATTTCTCCTGTGGTGTTGCTATCAGTGTGTGAAGAGGGTTGCATTGACAATCCAACACATTTTATAAGTGGTCAGAAACTTGTAAATAACTCATGAAAGAGTAAAGTTACAGTAAAACTGAGCACACCATTGCTTTTCTTGTGAAATTTCCAATAAGTTTGATGTGTCACATGACCCTCTTCCTATTGAAAAAACAAAAGTTGGATCCAAGATGGCCGACTTTAAAATGGCCACCATGGTCACCACCAGGGGCGGACTGGCCATCTGGCAATTCTGGCAAATGCCAGAAGGGCCGGACGATTTTTTTAAGCGTGGGCCGGTTAGATTTTTATTTTATTTTATTATTATTTTTTTATATGTAATGTTTTTACATGCAGGCAGCTTTTATCTCGTGCAACATGTGAATATTATGATGAGGTTGATGATGGTAATAATAGTAATAATAATAGTAAATGTTAAGCATTTGGCCCAATCTGTGATAGTTTCGAGAGGGGCCGACTCAATCAAAGGTTACGCGGACATAATCAAAATCTGGCAAGAATGTCAAACAAACAGTACGTATGGTAATGTGGGCTGGTGTGGCTATAGTGCCAGGGCTGAATTTTTGTCCCAGTCCGTCCCTGGTAACCACCCATCTTGAAAAGTTTGCCCCCTCACATATACTAATGTGCTACAAACAGGACGTTAATATCACCAACCATTCCCATTTTATTAAGGTGTATCCATATAAATGGCCACCCTGTATATTAAATTTAATTCGATCCTTCGTCTAGAACAGGGGTCACCAAACTTGTTCCTGGAGGGCCGATGTCCTGCAGATTTTAGCTCCAACCCTAATCAAACACACCTGAACAAGCTAATCAAGGTCTTGCTAGGTATACTTGAAACATCCAGGCAGGTGTGTTGAGGCAAGCTGGAGCTAAACCTTGCAGGGACACCGGCCCTCCAGGACCAGGATTGGTGACCCCTGGTCTAGAAGAAAAATATAATAGAAAATACTGCGATAAAATGTCCTTTCTCTGTTAAAAACCCCTAAAAAATGTATAAAGGGGCTAATAATGTCCGAAGATCTCAAGTGCACTACTGTCGTGCACAGATACAATACAATTAAACACCCTTCCTTTCCACAAGGGCACATGCAAATTTAGCACACACACATGCACGCACACACACGCACGCACGCACGCGCAGCAGAATTAATCACAGAAGACGACGCACAGATGGAGAGCCTGTGAAGAAGCAGAAAGCGAGAACGGGGAGGAGGAGGAGGAAAGAAAGGGGAGGGAGAGCCAAAACAGAGCAGAGGATACACAGAGACAGAGCAGAACACTGACTGATATTAAACCAGGGAACGCTATGGTTACACAGAAGACGGCAAGGACGATGTGTTAAAGAAACAAACCGGCTGCATCTACGGGAAGAAATCTCCGCGGCAGATGTGCTAGCGAGCGTGTTTAGCATCAGAGAGCGGGACTCTGGGGAGCGGGGAAGGGCTCTTCATTGAGGAGCATGGCAGGCTGGATTTGCAGCAGGATGGGTTGACTCTCATTCATTATAAAGGGAAATATATATATAACCGAGACTGTCTACACGGGCCGTCGCAGCTCTCGCCATCCACTATGCGCAGGGATCGAGAGCATGGAATTGAGCGCCGTCGACAAAAACAACAACAACACAGCCGAAAAAGCAGCACACCTGGCATAAGCCGAGATATTAGGTAGCATTATATGTAGCAGGAGTTTTAGCGTTTTTGATTTGTTTTGTAATCCTCCAGCATTTACGAGTGACAAACGACGAGCTTTTTGCTTCTATATGTAGCTTTTTCCTTCAGTTTTTCGATAGTGTCACCCGTCAGGTGTATGTACACTGTTAACAATGTCCTGTAGGATCTACAGTAACCTACTGTTCACCTGTAACTTACTGTAAATCAATTACAGCTAAAATATTTACATTTACAGCACCATTTATCTAGCTGTATTGTATCTATTTAACGTGTTGCATATCCTTACTGTAAATTATACAGTAACTATACAGTAAAATACAGTTCATATTACAGTTAAATACTGTGTAATTAGCTAAAATTGTTAACAGTGTATTATGTTTGGTTAGCTAGATTGTTGGCGGTTTTTTTTGGTTGTTGCTAGAGTTTATTGAAGTTCGTGGTTGGTATGGTGACTAGAGCAAACGCTCTAATCGGATTGGCTGATGAAGGCCTCCTGGATACGACTGCTGAAACGAGCAACAGGAAACCGAGTCAAGAACAACATTGGCGTAAGGAGCTATAACACTTAATATATTGTGTTCATGTGTGTGTGTGTGTGTGTGTGTGTGTTTTAGTGTTGTGATTAATAATGCTATTATCACAGGTATACGGTATTTTAAAGATAATACTAGGGTTGGGTGGTGTCGACCAACTTGGCATCGTACGATGTCTAATGTGAAACATCGCGATTGACGATGACATCGTCGTCATAGGCGTAGGTGAATTAATTATTCATGAATAATTAATTAATTAATTAATTAATAACAAATGTATTATTTGTAGCCTACCGTTTCACCTAACCCGCATGGTCTTTGTTTTACCCATAACCTAATCATAAATAAATAAATATAAGTGACACACTAATTACCACCTGTCAATCACTTTTCCCGCAGGACTCTGGCATGAATAGGCAGAGTGATCTGTGTCATTATAATGGCGTCGACAGACTTGGTTGGTAAAAAAAGATGCACAACCAACAGGAGCCAACCAACATTTTCTGAGGTTTACGCTAAAATGACTAAGTACAATCGTGAAATCGAAAGATTGAAGCAGTGTACTAACGTTAAGACACATTACCTGATATACTCAAAAGACCGAAGAGTCGTTAAATAGTGACACGATTATTTAAATATCACGTTTAACAACTATAGTGAGATGCCATCCAGCGGTACATCCTTGATAAACTGTCCGACGTGCACTGATCACTTCATGCTATTTTAAAACTAAGACGCGTTAGTGTAAACGGGTGTATTTTTTGCAAGCGAGTTTGCAAAAGGAGGCGGGGTGAAGGATTGTGATGCCGGCTGAGCATCGTGACTTCTATCAGCCATCGGCGATGGACGATGGCATCGTCTATTGACGCAACCCTAGATAATACGCAAAAAAAAGTACATTAACAGGTATAATAACCAATAAAAAAATACTGTACTGTAGAGGTGTGATCCTACACTGGTCTTACGGTTCGGTTACAATTATCATGCCATCGATTCGATTCAATTCGATATCTCTGTGCATCACGGTGCATTGACAATGCTTTCCATACACACTTTTACATTTATAATACAGCTATAACAAGCTGTCTGTATAAATACACACACACACATAGGCACACAGCACCAAGCAAGCGACACACAGCATCACGCTCTCTCATTCACAACACATAAACACAAAGCTCGGGAGCGATATTGTTAGAGGACATTATTAATACAAAAACTACAGTGTCACAAGGGGTGAGTGATTAGGTTGTGTGTTTTGATGTTCAGTATCTATCTATGGTGCTCAAACAGTTAAAATTAGAATGATTTTGTTTCTTTTAGCCTCTTTCATACTGAAAATACTATAGTAATTCATAGTAAATACAACAGGACCTTTGAACCATACTATAGTTAAGTGTATTATACTGTAAAGCCTATTGTAATATTTACAACACGTTGTTGAGGAATGTTACAGCATATAAGCTGTAATGGACTGATAAACTGTTGTTTTTACTATGTGGTTCATTGTCTTTTAATTTTTATATAGTTACTACATAAAATGTATAGGCCTAAAATATTGGGTAATTTATTACTATAGTTATTGATTTACCACAGCAACTAAATAACTACTAAATATTTCCATTAAAGTACTAATGGGGTAGTTGAACTTCACACAGGTCGTCCTGCATGCCTGCATTTTGATTCCTAATGTTGATGAAGCTGTATATGTTTTAATAGGCTAATTTTCGTCCGTGTTTCACGTTTTATAATACAACGATGTATGAAGCACATTTATGGATTCAGTTAGGGTTCAGATTAGACTCTGTGTTTACGTTCTGAATGAAACATGTCTGAACAATCCTGTATTTAGTTTTCTATGTTCAAGGAAAGCCTACTGATCATACTTTTAGCGATATTTGGTGAAATATAATTTGTACTGCTTACCCTTTTTCGATGTCTTGTTGTCTTGTTAGTCTGCAGATTAACCGCACCACTGCCGCGCATGCGCAGTATGCGTACTACGTGCTAGTCGGCTGTTAGCTGAAGTTCGTATTTTATCTTGGACACTATTATTAGCTGTACGCCTCATTTTGTTTACCAATTAGCATTGTTCCTGTAATATAGTCCACTCATCTCAAAGTAGTGATTGAAATTCAGACACTGATTCCCATAAGGGTCCGTGTACGTTTTGTTAGTTTGTTTTCCATTTTTATTTGTTCTTAAGCTATGCTTAATATCGTTTGCTACGGTGCTGCCACATATTGTTTTTTCCCACTCTATTATGTCGTGATAACAAGATCTTTAAAGTACTGTAAAATATTAAAACCACATATTTTCTCATAAGGATATGTTCTACATAACAGCTACATAATTTTAGTGTTAAAACTGCATATATGTCTCCTTAAAACAACATTTTTTTACTTTTTCCATTAAAACAAGACATTATAAAGCCTACACGACAACAGCTGGTAGACTCAAAAAAATATAGATCTTTTGCTTGTTTAAATTACTTATTTAAAATGAAACAACACCATTCTTGAGATTTTATTGGGACAACTAAATTGTTTTATGTTCAATTTACATAAATTTGTTAAAAGTAAATTAACTTAATCGATTTGTGTTGGGACAACATGAATGAATTGTGTGAAACCCTAATTTTTTTTAGTGTAAGGTTGGCAATGTTTTGATGCTTGTACGCTGGTCTTGCTGGTGTCGAGACCAGCACTGAGACCAGCAAGACTACAATTAAGACCAACAAAACCAGGATTTAAACCAGCAAGACCAGCTTACCAGCATCAAAACATACCTTACCACAGGGGTTCCCAAACTTTTCAGCCTGCGACCCCCAAAATGACAATGCTAGTGACTCGTGACCCCCAATATTCTCTGAGGTGGTGGTTATAAATACAGAAACCTTGTATGCAATGACGCACACACACACCAATAGGCCTTTTTCACACTTCCTGGTTCCGGTAAGCGAAGCAGTGTACCACAACATCCGGTTTCAATGCGACGGAGCAAGAAAGAATGGCAGGGTCATCTCAGCGCTGTGATTGCTGCGTTCCCAGCTGCTCCAACTCAAAAACGACACTCTTACTTTAATGACCACGATCTCCCGAAAGACGAAGGACAGGGAAAATCATGGATGACAATATTAAAGGGGGTTGAATGCCGTTTCAAGTTATATGCGGGAGTACATTCTTATGCTGTATACACTTCAAAGCGGAGATTATTATGTTTCATTAAAGACTGGTGGTCTATGGTTTATTTTGACGAGTAATTATAATATAGACAAAACTCAAGTTAAGCTATCTGCCGTCCACAAACAAGTGCTCATCATGGTCATTAATCTATAACCATGATTTATCCCTACATTGTTGTTATTTTGGAATAATAGACAGTTCATACAAATGCAAATCTCTTTTTTTAATTGGTTTGACAGCAAAATTATTTGTTTAGTCAGTTATATAATAAAGATAGTATACTTTAATGTGTTATTTAATGTGTTAATGTTTAAAATGTTATTTGCTGTTCTTTAAATAAATAATAAAAATGAATATTATCCACGAGTAGGAGCTAACGTGTTTCCAGACTTGAGAAAACCTCACGAGCATTAAACAACCTGTAATGTATTAACCGATAGCAACTCGCCTGTACAGCTACCTCGCCATTCACTATATCTGACTCTGAATTAAAAGGAAGGAGGGGGTTAGCACAGTTTACAGACGGGACTACTGACATAAAACCCATCCTGCTGGATGTTAAAAAGCCAGGTTAATCCAGTTTACGAATGGCTTGAATGAGCAGATTTTATGCTGTTGGCTGTGCACCTTACTGGAACCTGACATGGCAAACGCTGTGTAAGACACGTTTTCTGCACAAACTCTGCAAATCGGTATCATCTTTTAAATGCTGTTTTATTAAGGCAGTTTTACACATTCACCGAACAACATCTTCCTGTCCAAATTATGGCAAAGTTGACCATGAGAAAGTCATCCGCTGTCCCGAGGCTGTCATGTCTCTGCGACTCCTAGCGAACCCGGAAATATCGATACACTGCTTCGAAGGGCGCTTCCGGTGTTCAATTCCGCTGTGAAAAAGGTCTATAGACCCAAGTCTATTCATTGTTTTTTTTTTATGTATGTCAGTGCTGTAAATGGGCTAGAAAGTTTAACCTGGTGTTATAAAATCAATCTGCTGCATCTGACAGTATTGCTGTGTCTTTAGTATAATGTAATAATGTATATAATGAAGTTGCAATCCAATAGAACTAGTAATAAGCTACTATAGTAACTATATAGTTTATAGTAACTATAAACGACAATTTTTTTCTCTTTAGTAGGTTATTGATAAAATACAGTAAGTTTTAAGGTTTAATAAAAATTAATTGATTTTTGAAAATCACCAGGCGACCCCCCTTCATTGTCCCGCGACCCCTCGGGGGGTCCCGACCCCCACTTTGAGAACCTCTGCCTTACCAGACCAGCATATGCTGTTTTTTTCAGCATAATGTTTTTGTTGTTGTAGTTGTTGTGGGTTTTTTTTTATTATTGAAATGTATTATCTTTCTATTCTTAAATATGTTAGGTGACCAAACTATTATTTTAAGGGACTGGAACTATTAAGGGACAAACTATTACTATTTAAGGGAACTGTTTAATAAAAGTAAATGCACTATGCACATATATAGTCTATATTGACTGAGAAATTTATAAAAATATAAGTTTTGACTCATTTATGCTGCTGAGTACTGTCTTTAGGAGAAGTCAACAATAACCTAAACTGTATATTAACTGTTTATTAAATGTTGGAAAACAAACCTATGAATGGTCTTATATCTACACTCATCCCATGTTAAATTACCTTTAATTATGGAATTACTTTTAAAAAAAGGATCACATCTATGTAGTAGCCATAATAGAAAGAGGTCAACTGGATTTTTTTAATAACTACAAAAAAAACTACACCATGTGACTTTGTATTGTAATATATGTGTTGTCATTAGAAATTTTGACATGAACACAGCAATGTATCTCCGCTTGCATATTGCCTACTTATATTAACTAGTAAAAGTGTATTAAAATTAATAAGATGAGCTAATGTGATGTGGGATAATCTGATGCGAATACACATGCTCATGAGCGAAATGTCTCTGCTCTTTCTGCAGGGTTCAGCAGACTCATACACCAGTCGGCCATCAGACTCGGATGTGTCTCTGGAGGAAGATAAAGAGACTTTACGCAGAGAAGCTGAGAGACAGGCTCAGGCGCAACTCGACAAGGCCAAGGTACAAACATGTTCATTCACTTACAGTTGAAGTCAAAATGATTAGCCCTCCATGAACCGTAATAATACCCATAATTCATTGTGTAGCCTAAGCCCTCCATGAACCGCCACCTTATCGTGGTGGAGGGGTTTGAGTGCCTGAGTGATCCTAAGAGCTATGTTGTCGGGGGCTAATGCCCCTGGTAGGGTCTCCCAAGGCAAACAGGTCTTAGTTGACAAGTCAGACTAAGTGCGGTTCAAAAAACCCCTTATGAGTACGAGGACTGTGACATCGCCCGGTATGGCGCAGCCGGGGCTCCACCCTGGAGCCAGGCCTGGGGTTGAGGCACATATGCGAGCGCCTGGTGGCCGGGTTTTTTTCCCACGGAACCAGGGCGTGCTTAGCCTGAAGGAGCGACGTGGGACCATCCTTCCGCAGGCCAACTACCTTTAGGGGGAGCCGTAGGGGGCCAGTGCATTGTGGAACAAGAGGTGGTCGAAGCTTAGGACCACGACAACCCGATCGTCGGGCACAGAAATGATGTGGCATTACTGTGGAGGGTGCTGGGGGAGTATGGGGTCAGAGGGGATCTGTTGAGGGCCGTCTTGTCCCTGTATGAACAGAGTAGGAGTCTGGTTCACATTGCTGGCAATAAGTCAGATTTGTTTCCAGTGCATGTTGGACTTCGGCAGGGCTGCCCTTTGTCACCAATTATTTTCATAATTTTTATGGACAGAATTTCAAGGCGCAACCTTGGGCTGGAGGGGGTCCAGCCCATCAAACATGTAACTTCAGCATGCACTGGAGTGGTTTGCTGCAGAGTGTGACGTGGCTGGGATGAGAATCAGCACCTCCAAGTCCGAGGCCATGGTGCTCCACTGGAAAAAGGTGGTTTGCCATGTCCCGGTTGGAGGAAAGTCCTTACCCCAGGTGGAGGAGTTTAAGTATCTCAGGTTTTTGTTCACGAGGGAAGGATGGAACGTGAGATTGACAGGCGGATTGGTGCAGCGGCAGCAGTAATGGGGTTGATGTACCGGTCCATTGTGGTGAAGAAGGAGCTGAGCCGAAAGTCAAAGCTCTCGATTTACTGGTCAATCTACGTTCCTACTCTCACCTATGGTCATGAGCTTTGGATCATGACCGAAAGGACAAGATCTCAGATACAAGCGGCTGAAATGAGTTTCCTTTGAAGGGTGGCAGGGCGCACACTTATGGATAGGGTGAGGAGCTCTGACACCTTGGAGGAGCTCAGAGTAGAGCCGCTGCTCCTCCACATTGAGAGAAGTCAGCTGAGGTGGCTCGGGCATCTGTTTCGGATGCCTCCTGGACACCTACCTAGGGAGGTGTTCCAGGCATGTCCCACCGGAAGAAGGTCTCGGGGAAGACCCAGGACACGCTGGAGGGACGATGTCTCTCGGCTGGCCTGGGAACGCCTCGCGATCATCCAGGAGCTGGAGGAAGTGTCTGGAAAGAGGGAAGTCTGGGGTTCTCTCCTAACACTGCTGCCTCCGCGATACCGGAAAAGCTGCAGAAAATGAATGAATGAATATTTGCCAAATGATGTTTAACAGAGCAAGGAATTTTCCACAGTATTTCCTGTAATATTTTTCTTCTTGAGAAAGTCTTATTTGTTGTATTTCGGCTAGAATAAAATCTGTATTAAATTTTTTTAAAACCATTTTAGGGGCAATATTATTAGCACAGGCCTATCTAAAGTATTAATGCTGCCAACTGATGATCAACAGTAAAAAGACACATTTTACCTCCTCTCAACAGGGAAAACCAGCAACAATCAAAAATGCATGCTCATATGCTGTCAAGGCTTTGCAATTAAACAATACCATTGCAGTGGAAGTCAATGGGGCAAAAACAGCCACCAACATAACCAAAGAGGAGTCAATTTAAACAGTGCACAAGGGTTAAGATGGTAATATATTATTTATATATTTTTTACCCAACGCTGGTACCCAAAGCTTCATTAAACTTCTTTATGAATCCTGCACTGACACCCGTACCACATCTCTGACTCTCTAAATTATTCAAATACATTCACAGAGCCTTCAGGGTTTGTCTGGACAGCGAGTGTCATCATCTTCCAAGGCTATTTTAGTTCATTTATATCTCTGTGCGTTTTCTTTCTCCGAGGCAAATGAAAGCAGCTGTTTTTAGAGGTGATATAGATATAAATATATGAGCTCTCAGCCTATTAGTGTTTGCCATCTATTTTTATTCTTCTGTTTACACTTGTTTTTGTCGCACTCTCTTTCACCTCTGGGGACAACAGCTATATTTAGTGCTTGGCATCAATCTGATTTGATCATTTATTTATTCTCGCATTAATATTGATCATGAAGCCAGCTGGCCTGCAGTGAGCTGACAGAAGTAAATATGCTCCGCTGGCCAAGTAAGTTTACTTGCAGATATTTTCTTTTAGTTTCCCAATTTAGGGCGTCACGGTGGCACAGTGATCGCCTCACAGAAAGAAGCTCGCTGGTTCGAGCCTCTGCTGGGTCAGTTGGTATTTCAATGTGGAGTTTGCATGTTCTCCCTGTGTTGGCATGGGTTTCCTCCGGAGTTCCTCCCACAGTCCAATGAAGTGGTATGGGGGAATTGGGTAAGCTAAATTGTCTGTAGTGAATGAGTGTGTATGGATGTTTCCCAGTGACGGGCTGATGAGCTGGAAGGGCATCCGCTGCATAAAACATATGCTGGATAAGTTGGCGGTTCATTCCGCTGTGAAAACCCCAGATTAATAAAGAAACTAAGGAGAAAAGAAAATGAATGAATGAATGTTTAACTGGTGCTGGGCAAAAATTAATCGCGATTAATTGCATTAAACTTAAAGTTAGTTTTGATCATGTTTCTGTGACGGTCGTGGTTAGGGAAAGGAGCGAGGACTCAGGTGCAGCAAATGATGGGTATTTATTAATAATAAAATTAAAATAAAAGGCAAAACAAAAACTACCCCGAGGGGGGAAACATTAACAAAACACAAACAAACTTGGCTGGGCTGGCAAGACAAGACTGGAGCAGGCACACAGGGGGAGTGTAGATGACAAACTGGCACAGAACAGAAGACATGAGGAGATTATAAGCAGGAGAAAATTAACACACAACAGATGAACGTAATTTTACTAATAATGGGTTAACAAGTGGGGTGGGACTAGACAATAGACGGGAGAGCGCATGACAGAGACAAGACATGCGCTCACATAAAACAAGACAAGAACATGCAGCCAATGAGAGAGCTCATTAACCGCATGTTCATGACAACACTGAAGCACACCACAAAACCACGTGACCACAATGTAAACACAGAGCCACATGCTTTGACAACAGACGCAAGACACAAGCACACGATAGATAAACACCTTACCGTGCGCTCACACATATGCAACGCGCATGCTTAATCTCAGCGCCAACCAAAACTTAAACCAACTAGACGTAGGCGCAGAGAATGAAGCAGCGCGATGCTGACAGAACAAACACAAACACTAGTACAAAAGCGCGCATGTCCGAGGCACGCAGGGCCCACGCGGCCGCATCAAGCGGGAGTGCGCGCGCACACAGAGACACACACAATGACAGAAACAAGTGCTTGACCCAAGAAAACTTGAGCCGAGCGCAACAGGACAGGACTAGACATGACTAGTGTCCGGACTCTGCCACCAAAACAAGAATTTACATGACCAGAGTGGCAGAACCCTGACAGTTTCCTATGTATTGTTTTAAAGAGACGAAGAAGCTTCTAATCTCATTGGAGTGTGTCTTCTGAGATACTGTGTGCAGCAGTATTATTTTTTTCTTTCCTATCCAAAATGGTAAAAATCTAAAATTCTCTGACCACATTTCTAGAACTGCTCGATCGTGCAGATTCGCACTCTATAACATCAGAAAGATCCGACCCTTCCTATCTGAACATGCAGCTCAACTCCTTGTTTAGCTCTTGTTCTCTCCAGACTGGACTATTGCAACTCTCTACTAGCCGGGCTTCCAGCTAACTCTATCAAACCTCTTCAACTGCTTCAGAACGCAGCAGCACGAGTTGTCTTCAATGAACCTAAAAGAGCACATGTCACTCCGCTGCTCATCCGTTTGCACTGGCTGCCAGTTGCTGCTCGCATCAATTTCAAAGCTCTGATGTTTGCCTACAAAGCGACTTCTGGCTTTGCTCCTTATCTGCTCTCACTTCTGCAGATGTATGTGCCCTCCAGAAACTTGCGTTCTGTGAATGAACGTCGCCTCATGGTTCCATCCCAAAGAGGGAAGATATCACTTTCCCGAACTCTCGCGTTCAATCTGCCCAGTTGGTGGAATGAACTCCCTAACTGCATCAGAACGGAGTCACTCGCTGTCTTCAAGAAACGACTAAAAACTCAACTATTTAGTCTCCACTTTACTTCCTAATCTGCAATTGCCTCTCTGGCTCCACCGCTAACTGTATTACAAAAATAAATGACTAATGTTTTGCTTCTTACACTTTACACACCTGAAACTCGCCTACAGCACTTATTCATTGCTGCTCTTATAGTTGTGTAAATTGCTTCCTAGTCCTCATTTGTAAGTCGCTTTGGATAAAAGCGTCTGCTAAATGACTAAATGTAAAGCAAACATGCCAGCCATGTGTCTGGATACTGAATGAAACGGTGTGTTCATGATCAATACTGCATGTATAACGGAAAGTGGCGTTGCGTAAGAGGCAAACGCTGGCTGTGAACACAAAACACAGATTTATAAACAAAGCAAAGTATCAAAAGCACAGCGCAAAATATCATTCAAAGCTCTGGTCCCACATATCACATCACATGGCTTTGGATTTGCATGTCTTTTTATTTGATCGGAACATAAGAAAGGGAAGCTAAAAGCATCAGTGTTTTGACAGATGATGGAGACTCGTGAAGTGTGTGTGCGTGTGTCTGTGTGTGTATCTGCAATCCTCATTACTATTAGAGGACACCATGTCCTCTGTTTGACATACCCATAATTCATTGTGTGTGCAGAGCATCATGTAATGTTGACTCCATACTGATTTCACCCTTGTGCGTCAAACACTCTTCTGTTTCGCCGCACACGTTGAAAAATTGACATTAAAATTATTATTAATGTTTTACATTTTATCAATTCATATTTTTTAGTATTATCAGGTTTAATAAATAATTCATAAACTCACATTCAGTATGTCAAGTTTTGTATTTATTCATTTATTTTCCTTCAGCTTAGTCCCTTATTTATCAGGGGTCGCCAAAGCGGAATGAACCGCCAACTATTCCAGCATATGTTTTACACAGCGGATGCCCTTCCAGCCGCAACCCAGTACTGGGAAACACCCACACACACTCATTCACACACACTTATACACTTCGGCCAATTTAGTTCATCCAATTCCCCTATAGCGCATGTGTTTGGACTGTGGGGGAAACCGGAGCACCCGGAGGAAACACGGGGAGAACATGCAAACTCCACACAGAGATGCCAACTGACCCAGCAAGGGCTCAAACCTGCGACCTTCTTGCTGTGAGGCGACAGCGCTAACCACTGAACTGATTATTAATATTTGATATACCGTATTTTCTCTTTGTTCCTCTACAGAGTAAACCAGTGGCGTTTGCAGTGCGCACTAATGTTGGCTACAGTGCTTCTTCTGAAGATGACGTCCCCGTGCCTGGAACGGGAATCTCATTTGATCCTAAAGATTTCCTTCATGTTAAAGAAGTATGTATTTACATGTACAGCACACACGTCCATATCATATAACATTTTCACCTACAGTTCAATAAATGTTTAAAGTTATTCATATGGGCCTTAAATGTAGAATGAAATGTTTCTCTGTGTGTGTTGTGCTCTTATAAAACTCGACCACTTGTAACCTTTGTGTGTTTAATGGCAGAAATTTAATAACGACTGGTGGATCGGCCGCTTGGTGAAGGAAGGCTGCGACATCGGTTTCATCCCAAGTCCAGTGAAGCTGGAAAGCAGTCGCCTTCGCCAGGAGCAGCGCGCAAAACAAGGACGCTTTTACTCAAGGTGTCTGTTGCATAGATACTTCAAAACTACGACAAACAAACTAATACACAAAACTAATACACTCTGTGGGGGAAATAAGTATTGAACACGTCACCATTTTTCTCAGAAAATATATTTCTAAAGGTGCCCCAGATTTTCCCCGGATGTTGGTAACAACCAAATAAATCCTAATAAGAAAACTAATTAGTTTACAAATGAAGTTATGCATAATAAAATTAAATGGTGCAGAGAAAAAAAAACTGAACACATGAAGAAAGGGAGGTGTAGTTCAGCAGGGAAAGCCCAGACAGCAGCTGAAATCACTCGGTAGTTCTTCAGCAAGCCTCAGCCCTTCCAGTGTAAATGAAGATCAGCTGCTTCAGTCCAACATCTACATTAGCAGGAGGATGAAGATGAAGCCAGGGTGGACATTTCAGCAGGACAATGATCCAAAACACAGCCAAGGAGACTCTCAGATGCTTTCAGAGAAAGAAAATCAAGCTGTAGAATGGCCCACCCAATCACCTGATCCGAATCTAATTGAGAATACAGAATAAAGCTCAGATTTGATAGACGAGACCCACAGAAGCATCAAGATGTAGACACTCTGTTGAAGTCTGTGAGAAACTCACACCTGAGCAATGCATGAGGCTTCATCACCGAAGTCACCCCAAAATAAAAATGTACTCACACTCAGTAGGTTCCAACCCTTTATTATAATTTTTTTTTCTGACGATTACAAAAGATATTTTGAAAAATGTTAGGTACATCCGTATTAAAAAAAAAACTATGGAAGTCAATGGCAACCTTTTTGAGCAAAGAAACTCAAATATGTTTAGAAAAAGTTGATGGTCAGTAAATGATTTTTGGTTGAGCTATCCCTTTAAATCACAGGTGTCAAACTCAGTTCCTGGAGGGCCGCAGCTCTGCACAGTTTAGTTCCAACCCTAATTAAACACACCTGATCAAACTAATTGAGTCCTTTGTTTGAAACCTACAGGTAAGTGTGTTGGAGCAGGGTTGGAACTAAACTGTGCAGGGCTTCGGCCCTCCAGGAATTGAGTTTGACACCCCTGCTTTAAATCATATGAGTAGAGGAATATATACTCTACGCTTTCCTTTTTTTAAATTAAGGATTGTGTTTTGTTCATTTTGTTCACAGTAAATCAGGGGCAAACTCTTCATCCAGTTTAGGGGACATTGTTTCAAACTCACGGAAATCAACTCCTCCCTCCTCAGGTAAGATATCAGCATCTGATCAATGCTGTATTAGTCATTCATTCATTCATTTTCCTTCAGCTTAGTCCCTTTATTTATCAGGGGTCTACACAGCGGAATGAACCGCTAACTATTCCAGCATGTGTTTTGTGCAGCGGATCCCCTTCCAGCTGCAAACCAGTACTGGGAAACACCCATACACACTCAATCACACACACTCATAGACTACGGCCAATTTAGTTTCCTCAATTCCCTTATAGCGCATGTGTTTGTATGATTTGCAGTTCCTTGCAAGACTGTGTGTTTGTGATCGCTGGTGATCGTGACACAGATCATGTGGTTGTTGGCCTGAACTACATGTCAGCTTTACACACATGCAACTGCCCTCGGACTATTTAAAGTAATTGTCAAAATGTTATTTTTCTTATGTCAGCGTCAAAGATTCACGTGAACTTTAAATCGTCTTAACAGATGCCAGTTAGACTGCTCCATGCAAATACCCTTGAGCATATGCTATCCAATCACGTTTACACAACCCTGGAAAACGAATGTGATTGGCTGTTTTAATCTGCGAAGTGTAGACGCAGACATATTTTGTGAATAAACAAATGAAGCGTGCAGTAACCGTGAAGTGCTCAGCCACAGAGGTGGCTCTGACACTTGAGCAGGATTTTTAGCAGCTTTATAGTGCGCACCACAAAATGGTAAAATATGCGTCTGAGCAGGACTCTTACAGTGTAATATTGCATTTACGTTACAGCCTTTGTCTTTCATGCATTATTTTATGAATATCACATGAATCTGTGTGCAGAAGACATATGCATTACTTCTGCACTAAATTATCTGTTATTGTTACAGTCTTAGGCCCCGTTTACACTAATGCGTTTTCATTTTAAAATGCATACGTTTTGCTACGGTTACGCCATCCTTCCACACTACGCCGGAGTTTTCGAGCGCTGAAAACGGAGTGTTTCGAAAACGCTGAAGAGGCCGTTTTCATTCAGAAACGCTGCTGTTCTGTCGCAGTGTGGATGGGGGAAAACGGAGACACCTTAAAACGGAGGCGGGGCTGCTGAGATTCGCTACCTGATTGGGGCTTTTGTGTCATTGCGTATCCTTCCCTTATTCGTCAAGCCCCTATCACATGACTATAACACATGGCTTTAACGCTACCAGAAGACAGTACTGTAAACAACAACATGGACACAGAAACGGGAGCGTTGTTTGCACTATTGTCTGTTTTAGGCGCCATTGTGCAGTTATTCATTTGTTACGTTTAGTAACAACTCGACCTCGTCGTCTGACCACAAAAATACTTCTCTTGCTTTCTTTGCCATCGCGTTCATTATTCAACCGGCGTTTGTTGACTAACAATAACTAAATGCTGAGCGAGACGCATGCTTTCTGTTTATACTAGAACACGCATTACCAGAGTGCGCGAATGCTCACGTGATGTACGTTTTTGGTGGCGTAGTGTGGACGGAGATATGTTCAGAAACGCTAGTGTGGACGTGGATCGTTTTTGATCTAAAACGCCGTTTTATAACTAAAGCGTACTAGTGTAAACGGGGCCTTACTAGAGCGAGCAGCGATCAATGTGTTTTTTGTTTAAATATTTTTTATTGATTTTCAGTTTTTCAAATGGGAAAGAACAACAATACAAAGCCAAACCCATACCAATCCAACAGCGGGATAGCGCAAAAATGAACAAATATACAATTGTACATGTAGGTTTAAATACAAATATAAAGAAATAATAATTATTGTAACAATAATAACAATAAATTAAAATAAAAAAACAGCGATCAATGTGTTGACTGCATTTATTTAGTAGTAAAATTAGCTAGATGTTGCATTATTAACGAAATTAAAGTGTTGATAGTGCATTTGTTTTGCACTAAAATTAGTCATTGGTAATGCTGCATTGTTTTTGCAACATGATATGAGTTGTCAAACAGCATGTGGATATATTTCCTGCAAATAAATAGCAAATTGTGGCGCATTGCAAAACATTTGCATCTTGTGTTTTATTGACGTCACCAGCAACTAGTCGACGTCGACTCGACTTTGATAACATGAAAGTCAACTACCAAAAATCTAAAGTTGTTCAACCCCTAAAATATACTTATATGTGTGTGTGTGTGTGTGTAGCTGTGGACATTGACGCCGCAGGTTTAGATGCAGAGGAGAGCGATCCTCCTCCCCATCAGCGATCTCCCAAAGCCAGCCCAAACACAGTCATATCCCCTTTAGCCCGAGAGAAACGAATGCCTTTCTTTAAGAAGGTAAAGCATGTGCCGGGGCGTCAGGCGTCCTGCATCTGTCTGTTCTCCAGCAGCTTTACGCACAGCCTGATCCGCTCGTCATCGCCCCAATGCTTATTACACTCACTGTTGCCCTTCTCTCCCTGTCTTTTCCTTTGTTGACCGTGTCCCGATCTTTAACTCTCCCTCGCTCTTTTCTTTTTGTCTGTTTTTCCCTCCTCTGATCCTCAGCTAAGCAGTGGCAGAAGTCGGTGAGTTTGTTTGACCTCTCAGTGGATTCATCCGGCCTGTCAAGCATCGTTCCTGTTATGAAGTGCCTGTTGAGGTGTTCTAGTTCATTGATTATTAGGGCTGGGAGTCGATTACAAAAGTAATCTGTTCTGAGGCACTGAGAATCAAGAGTTGATTCCACAAAGAATCAATTCCTAGGCATTTAGAATCAGATTGTATTCCAAAAAGAGTCAATTCTGAGACATTGAGAATCAAGAGGTAATTCTAAAAAGAGTCAATTGCAAGGTGTTGATAATCAAGATTTGCTTTCAAAAAGAATAATTTGCAAGGCATTGAGAATCAAGAGTCAATTTCAAAAAGAATCAGTTCTTAGGCATTGAGATTTGAGAGTAGAGAGGCATTGAAAATCAAGAGTCGATTCTAAAAAGAATCAGTTCCGAGGCATTGAGAACCAAGAGTTGATTCGAAAAACCAATTGATTCTGAGGTGTTGAGAATCAAGAGTTTATTCCTAAAAGAATAAATTTTGAGGCATTACGAATTGGGAGTCAATTCCAAAAAGAATAAATTCTGAGGCATTGAGAATCAAGAGTCAATTCTAAAAAGAATCAATTCCTAGGCATTGAGAATCAAGACTCGATTCCAAAAAGAATCAGTTCTGAGGCATTGAGAAGAGAGAGTCGAGGCATTGAAAATCAAGAGTCGATTCCAAAAAGAATCAGTTCCAATGCACTGAGAACTAAAAGTTGATTCCAAAAGAACCAATAGTCGATTCCAAAAAGGATGAATTCTGAAATCAAGTTGATTTAAAAAAGAATTAATTCTGAGACATTGAGAATCAAGAGTCGATTCCAAATAGAATCAACTGAGAGGCATTAGGAATCAAGAGTCAAATCCAAAAAGAATCAAGTCCAAGACATTAAGAATCAGATGAGACATTGAGAGTCAAGAGTTGATTCCAAAAACATTTGATACTATGGTGTTGAGAATAGAGAATTGATTCCAAAAAGAATAAAATCTGAGGCAGTGAGAATCAAGACTCGATTGTAAGAAGAATAAATTCAGAGGCATTGAAAATCGATTGCAAAAAGAAACAATTCCAAAGTAGACACTGAGAATCAAGAGTCAATTCCAAAAAAAAAATAATAATAATAATTTCTAGGCCTTGAAAATGGAGGGTTGATTCCAAAGCTCGGAATGGATTTTATAAAAGGAATTGACTCCTCTTTTCAGTTTAAAAGAACTAATTAATACTTTGATTCTTGGTAATAATGATCAGAATACACGATCAGACATTTCCATGAACAGATGAAGTGGATTTGCTTCATGGAATTCTTACACTATAGTTTTGTAACTGCTGGCGATGGTTCACCAAAGTAAAAAATGTATTTGACACCCTACGTTTACTTAATTATAAGAGAACTACTATGATCACACCTTTAATAGAGTTGTGTAGGATTAGATGCTTTTACATTTGTAAGTTTTTATTTTGTAAGCTTAAAAAATGCGCAACATAGTAGGAACGATCGCATGGCCACTTCTAAGTAACACTTCTTAGTCTCCTTTTAACAATTGTCCGCGATACAGCTTCATATGTGTTTATTTGTGTGTGTGTGTGTGTGCATGTTTAAATAACACTATTATTTATACAGTAAATCAAAAATTATCAACATTTCTCATAGCATCAGTTTATTCACTATAGTTTACAATGGGCATAAAAAATATGACAAGAGTTAAACTGGGTGATAACAATGCCATCTTGACAATGTCAGATAACTTTAAACAATGATTGACAATAATTACACAACTCTAAGTACTCTATCAATGCTCAAAATCAGTCTGTAACCAGATTCATATATAAAGTGTTACTTCAACATCGATCTTGTATACTATACACAACTGTATAAATAATAATGGTATCATTTGCTTACTGTTCTGTTATAAAACCCTGGTAAGAATACATCATTCTACTAAACATGGTGTGTGTTTTGAGTTTTCAAGTGGGTGTCAAATTTAATGTAGGTTTGTTTTCAGCCAAAATTAATGCATTACATTAGTTATATATAGAAATGCATGCAAAGAACTGCTGTCATTTTTTAAAGGCATAGTTCACCCAAAAATGAACATTTGCTCATCATTAATTCTCCCTTGTGTGGTTTTATGAGTTTCTTTCTTCTGTAGAACCCCCCAAAAAAAGATATTTCAAAGAATACAACCCATTGACTTTCGTAGAAGGCAAAAATAATGACTATGAAATTCAGCCAGCTACCAGCATTCTTCAAAATATCTTCTTTTGTGAAGAAAGAATCTCAAATAGGCTTTGAACAAGTCAATGATGATCGAATTTTCCTTTTTGGGTGAACTGTCCCTTTAAATATTCAGCAAATATAAGAACATGCCTGCTGACGTTAAATTTGACACTTGAAGCATTTAGGTTGGTCTTGATCGTTGTGTCTCTGTATCGTGTAAGGTGAGTGTGTGTTTATGTTGTGTTTGTGTGCCGCTGTACAGACGGAGCATGCTCCTCCATATGATGTGGTGCCGTCGATGAGGCCGGTTGTTCTCGTTGGACCTTCACTCAAGGGCTACGAGGTGCTGCAGAAAGTATTGTGATGCCGTACTGAAACATACAACACACAGGCTTATTGTAAATACGTGCTCTAGTCTACATTTTTGTAAAGCTGCAAAAACAACATACATTTGACTGCAGTTTGTAGGTTAAAATTAACACTAGGGGGCAGTATGACGCCAACAACTTTTGTTTCTTTTCACACTTATGATATTTACAGGGACATATTATTGATGAATGCAGGATTATTTTTCGTGCAGTTCTTTGCACAATACCAAAAATAAATCCTACAATAATAAAATTCCTATCTTAATAAGGACAACTTTTCTGGCGTGGTCAGTTTGCTCAGGAGCTCACCTTGTATGTGTTGAGCTTGTGCGGCAGAAGGCTTGGGTTTGAAGTGAAGCATGCTTCCACAAGAGATAAAAGCAATGTGAAATCAAGGTAAAACTATGTTTGCTGTGCACTTTTCTCTTACATTTGCTTTTAAAAACACTATTATATTATAGCGAAGAATTTAGTTCAGTGGTTGGATAGCTGATCCGTATGATAAGTATGGTAAGTAACGCATTTCAGAAAATGGCAAAAATGTAGCCAGCACCCTCTAGTGGCTTTGTTATCTGAAACATGCAACAAAACATACCCTTAGTAACGCATTCCATATTGGCAAAATGTAGCCAGCGCCGTCTAGTGGCTTTGCTATCTGAAACGTGCAACAAAACATACCCTAAGTAACGTATTTTAGATTCGCAAAAATGTAGCCAGCACCCTCTAGTGGCTTTGCTATGTAAAATGTGCAACAAAACGTACCCTAAGTAACGTATTTTAGATTAGCAAAATGTAGCCAGCGCCCTCTAGTGGTTTTGTCATCTGAAACGTGCAACAAAACACCCTTAGTAATGCATTTCACATTGGCAAAAATGTAGCCAGCGCCGTCTAGTGACTTTGCTATCTGAAACGTGCAACAAAACGTACCGTAAGTAATGTATTTTAGATTAGCAAAATGTAGTCAGCGCCCTCTAGTGGATTTGTCATCTTAAATGTGCAACAAAACACACCCTTAGTAACGTATTTCAGATTCGCAAAAATGTAGCCAGCGCTCTTTAGTGGATTTGTCATCTAAAACGTGCAACAAAACACATCCTTATTAACGCATTTCAGATACACAAAAAATGTAGCCAGCGCCCTCTAGTGGATTTGTCATCTGAAATGTGCATCGAAACATACCTAGAGCTACGTATTTTTGGTTTCGCAAAAAAAAAAAATGCTGACTGAAGCATGTATTTCCAATGAGCCTGGGTTGAAAACTTATTAAAGTGCGCATTACAGTTACAATCACATTTAAAGTTACATTAAAGTTTATTTTGCTAGCGTTTGTTTTGGTAAACCTGAAGCAAAATCTTACAATGTTCTATCGCTCTGTAACGGCAGTTGTTCTCTGATGATGTCAGTTTGACAGTAAAATATGCACAGCTATGCCCTTCCACCTATTACTGATGGTGCATTAGTCAGAAGTAATGTCGGATAAATTGTATTTACGAGTTGAACGCCACCGTTATTAAGGCGTTATTATGAGTGACAAAACTAAATTTTCTTTAAGCATCGAGTTTCCAACGCTTCTAAGGGCCCACACATTTTGGTGGCCCCCAGAGATATTATTAATGGCCCACAACATATACCCCCCCACTCCTTCCACTTTCGTCTGCGACACCCCCTCATCCTCCAATGATGGTTGGGTTTAGGGGTGGAGTTTGGTGCCACGCCTCTTTTTAAAAACCAAACAATTTTGTACGGCTGATCTCGAATTACTGAATTAGCCACTAAACTGACAAAACGTAAAATAGTTACGTTTCCTTGACAAACACAATACATTACTAAAATATAAAATAATATTATATATATATATATATATATATATATATATATATATATATATATATATATATATATATATATATATATATATATATATATATATATAAAAGTTGACAGGTGGTCAACGAACTGGTAATGCCTGAAACTCCTCTTTAAATGTTCGTCATTACATTTCTGTGTTCATATTTTGAACGATTTCTTTCGCAAGGGCATATTAATTTAAATTTACACTGCAAAAATATATGGGTGTATATAATTTAAAAGCGTAGTATTGCATTATGGGATTTTGTTTCTCTGTTTTGACAAATTTTGATGCTGAAATTTTAACTCTGAAGTTTGACAAAGTGACTTTTAACTAAAAATGTTGGGTTATTTCAACTCAATTTTGACAATAATATGAACAAAACCAATCGTTGAGTTTATTTTCTGTAATTAAATTGTACAGGGATAAATTTAACCCCACGTTTGTTTTTGTACTTACCCAATTTGATTTGAAACCCTGTGTAATAATTTAAAACAATACATCGTCATGGTTGATGTCATGTAAAATACAATATAAAACCAGCCAATGAGCTGCCAGTATTTTTAACCCGTCAAGCATTTACATTAGCTTTCTGAAGGTAATAGATATACAGTGTGCTAAAGGTGGCAGACAAGTGACCAGTGTTTGTTTTGTGTGTGTGTGTGTGTGTGTGTGTGAACAGGTAACAGATATGATGCAGAAAGCGCTGTTTGACTTTCTGAAGCACCGGTTTGAGGGGAGGTGAGTGTGTGTCCCGCTCTTTCTCTTCCTCCTCAGGGATAGTTAGTTTATATATTTGTGTATACGTCACGCGAGTCTGTGGAGTTTCTTTAAATAGTCCCATCTCATTGCCTTAATTGGCCATAAGCACACAGTCCACTCACATGCTTCTGCCTTCCCTGGACTGAAGCTTCCCGCACAACACGGCCTGCATTCACAGTACGACATTTAATAAATCCATCTGTAAAACTGCCCACACAGCTCTGCATTTAGAGCATGACATTAAGCAAATATATCTGTACGACCGCCCGCACAGCACACCTCTGCATTTACAAATCTGAAACTTTATCCAGAGCTAAGTCATACTGTACATGGTTTGAAATTAAATTAAAATGTTTTTTTAAACTATTGTGCAAAGTTTTTGCCTTCAAATAATAATAATAATTTTGACTACTATATAATGCTGACTGACTGACCCCAGGGTTGTGGGTACTTCTTCTAGTATCCGCCCACACACACACTGAATGGAGCACTAGATGCGGGAATGCTCAAAATAAATGCGCACATTTTGGGAAGACAGGAAGCGTGAGTTGTGTTAAAGAGATAGTTCATCCACACAAAAAAAACTGATTTCTTGTTCATTTACTTAGATTCATTTCATCCAAGATGTTCAGTAGAGCAGTGGTCCCCAACCTTTTTTTCACCGCGGACCGGTCAACGGTTGTCAATTTTACAACGGGCTGGTGTGGGGTTTCTTCACGTGAACACTGCTAACTTACTGCGCTCGTGCATCCAGCTTAATCATGAACAACTCAGTGCGCATGCGCTAGTTGCACTATCGCAGTCTGATTATGTTTCAATAAAGGTTTATATGCATTAAATACATAACATCAGTGCCAAACATCTCAACTGACGAACATATTAACAATAATACAACCGTATAGCCGAATTAAATGTATGCATTGCCATGTTACAGCCCTAATCAGGGCCGGCGCGTCCATAGTGGCAACCTAGGGCGGCAGTATAGAGAGGGCGGCGTCCGCAACACCCCCCTTACCACCCGCGTCCTCAGTTATGTCCGCGACACCTCCCTCACCACCTGCGTCCTCAGATATATTCGCGCATAGGCGACAGAATAGAGAGGGCTGCGTCAGTAAGCGACACCTCCATCAGCAACCGCGCGTCCTCAGTTACATCCGCGCATAGGGCAGCAGAATAGAGGTCTGCGACACCCGCGCGTCCTCAGTTATATCCGCGCATAGGGCAGCAGAATAGAGGTCTGCGACACCCGCGCGTCCTCAGTTACGCCCTATTCACACGGGGCGTCAGCGTCAACGCTTCCCATTCACTTTGAATGGGTGACGTCAGGCGTTGCCGAACTGCATTGTGGATCCGTCTGCGCCGCTTCAGAAGCGTTCCTCGCTGCAGAAGTTGGGACCAGCTCAACTTTTCAAGCGCCGACGGAAGCGTCAGCCAATCAGATCGCTGTATGCAAATACACCAGCTCAGACAGTGGCCTATTGCTGACTGAATTTCATTGGCTGACGCTTCTATGACGATCGTTTCAGCTCCAACTTCAGACACGCCCTCTGTCAAGCGTTGACGCTGAAGCCCCGTGTGAATAGGGCGTTATATCCGCGCTTAGGGCGGCAGAATAGAGGTCTGCGACACCTGCGCGTCCTCAGTTATATCCGCGCATAGGGCGGCAGAATAGAGGTCTGCAACACCCGCGCGTCCTCAGTTATATCCGCGCTTAGGGCGGCAGAATAGAGGTCTGCAACACCCGCGCGTCCTCAGTTATATCCGCGCATAGGGCGGCAGAATAGAGGTCTGCGACACCCGCGGGTCCTCAGTTATATCCGCGCTTAGGGCGGCAGAATAGAGGTCTGCGACACCCGCGCGTCCTCAGTTATATCCGCGCTTAGGGCAGCAGAATAGAGGTCTGCAACACCCGCGCGTCCTCAGTTATATCCGTGCATAGGGCAGCAGAATAGAGGTCTGCAACACCCGCGCGTCCTCAGTTATATCCGCGCATAGGGCAGCAGAATAGAGGTCTGCGACACCCGCGCGTCCTCAGTTATATCCGTGCATAGGGCAGCAAAATAGAGGTCTGCGACACCCGCGGGTCCTCAGTTATATCCGCGCTTAGGGCGGCAGAATAGAGGTCTGCAACACCCGCGCGTCCTCAGTTATATCCGCGCATAGGGCGGCAGAATAGAGGTCTGCAACACCCGCGCGTCCTCAGTTATATCCGCGCTTAGGGCGGCAGAATAGAGGTCTGCAACACCCGCGCGTCCTCAGTTATATCCGCGCATAGGGCGGCAGAATAGAGGTCTGCGACACCCGCGGGTCCTCAGTTATATCCGCGCTTAGGGCGGCAGAATAGAGGTCTGCGACACCCGCGCGTCCTCAGTTATATCCGCGCATAGGGCAGCAGAATAGAGGTCTGCAACACCCGCGCGTCCTCAGTTATATCCGTGCATAGGGCAGCAGAATAGAGGTCTGCAACACCCGCGCGTCCTCAGTTATATCCGCGCATAGGGCAGCAGAATAGAGGTCTGCGACACCCGCGCGTCCTCAGTTATATCCGTGCATAGGGCAGCAGAATAGAGGTCTGCAACACCCGCGCGTCCTCAGTTATATCCGCGCATAGGGCAGCAGAATAGAGGTCTGCAACACCCGCGCGTCCTCAGTTATATCCGTGCATAGGGCAGCAAAATAGAGGTCTGCGACACCCGCGGGTCCTCAGTTATATCCGCGCATAGGGCAGCAGAATAGAGGTCTGCGACACCCGCGCGTCCTCAGTTATATCCGCGCATAGGGCAGCAGAATAGAGGTCTGCGACACCCGCGGGTCCTCAGTTATATCCGCGCATAGGGCAGCAGAATAGAGGTCTGCGACACCCGCGCGTCCTCAGTTATATCCGCGCATAGGGCAGCAGAATAGAGGTCTGCGACACCCGCGGGTCCTCAGTTATATCCGCGCATAGGGCAGCAGAATAGAGGTCTGCGACACCCGCGCGTCCTCAGTTATATCCGCGCATAGGGCAGCAGAATAGAGGTCTGCGACACCCGCGGGTCCTCAGTTATATCCGCGCATAGGGCAGCAGAATAGAGGTCTGCGACACCCGCGCGTCCTCAGTTATATCCGCGCATAGGGCAGCAGAATAGAGGTCTGCGACACCCGTGCGTCCTCAGTTATATCCGCGCATAGGGCAGCAGAATAGAGGTCTGCGACACCTGCGCGTCCTCAGTTATATCCGCGCATAGGGCAGCAGAATAGAGGTCTGCGACACCCGCGCGTCCTCAGTTATATCCGCGCTTAGGGCGGCAGAATAGAGGTCTGCAACACCCGTGCGTCCTCAGTTATATCCGCGCATAGGGCAGCAGAATAGAGGTCTGCGACACCCGCGCGTCCTCAGTTATATCCGCGCTTAGGGCGGCAGAATAGAGGTCTGCAACACCCGTGCGTCCTCAGTTATATCCACGCATAGGGCAGCAGAATAGAGGTCTGCGACACCCGCGCGTCCTCAGTTATATCCGCGCATAGGGTGGCAGAATAGAGGTCTGCGACACCCGCGCATCCTCAGTTATATCCGTGGATAGGGCAGCAGAATAGAGGTCTGCGACACCCGCGCGTCCTCAGTTATATCCGCGCATAGGGCAGCAGAATAGAGGTCTGCGACACCCGCGCGTCCTCAGTTATATCCGCGCATAGGGTGGCAGAATAGAGGTCTGCGACACCCGCGCATCCTCAGTTATATCCGTGGATAGGGCAGCAGAATAGAGGTCTGCGACACCCGCGTGTCCTCAGTTATATCCGCGCATAGGGCAGCAGAATAGAGGTCTGCAACACAAGCGCGTCCTCAGTTATATCCGCGCTTAGGGCGGCAGAATAGAGGTCTGCGACACCCGCGCGTCCTCAGTTATATCCGCGCTTAGGGCGGCAGAATAGAGGTCTGCGACACCCGCGGGTCCTCAGTTATATCCGCGCATAGGGCAGCAGAATAGAGGTCTGCGACACCCGCGCGTCCTCAGTTATATCCGCGCATAGGGCAGCAGAATAGAGGTCTGCGACACCCGCGCGTCCTCAGTTATATCCGCGCATAGGGCAGCAGAATAGAGGTCTGCGACACCCGCGCGTCCTCAGTTATATCCGCGCATAGGGCAGCAGAATAGAGGTCTGCGACACCCGCGCGTCCTCAGTTATATCCGCGCATAGGGCAGCAGAATAGAGGTCTGCGACACCCGCGCGTCCTCAGTTATATCCGCGCATAGGGCAGCAGAATAGAGGTCTGCGACACCCGTGCGTCCTCAGTTATATCCGCGCATAGGGCAGCAGAATAGAGGTCTGCAACACCCGCGCGTCCTCAGTTATATCCGCGCATAGGGCAGCAGAATAGAGGTCCGCGACACTTCATTTTCATAACCGGTCACTTTCATTTTCACATATTGGGGTTGAAGGCGGCATGATCGTCCTCTGCCTAGAGCGGCAGTTCAGCTTGCTCCGGCCCTGGCCCTAATGAGTATGATTATCTGAAACTCCATATAGATACATATTGCAGTAATTTCAGCTACTTACTTAGCGATGCACGCACACATATATGCACAATCCTTAAATGCTCTACTGAGTTGGACTCTATTGACCTTATTCTAAAATGCGGAAGTGCGCCTGTTTTCGCGATTGTCTTAGAACTTCCGATTCAGTCACCTATGGGAGAAATGACAAGGAATAATAAACGACAGAAAACGGTCAAACTACTTGCTCTACAAACAAATGTTTGCATGACTATACAGACCAAGTAGAATAATATAATATTAGAAAATATCAAATTGCAACATCAAGCAGCGTAACGAGCAGTTTTTAACGTCAAAAAATGAATGGAAGTGAATGAGACCGGAAGTCGCGAGACAAAAAGATTCAAATGGCAGCGCCTGCTGGTCGGCGGAGAATAAGGTAAATACTTCCTGTTTTTTAACTTTAAACTATCAACAACCACCAATGAGTTATATTCTATCGTTCTTCCCGCTCCGTGGTGGATTTTGGCATAGTCCATTTCACGTGAGATGGCGGGGGTGAGTGGAAGAAACCAAGTCGCGGGGGGGATATTTTCTACAGAAATAATTTATGATTTCTTATGTGGGCCGGTACCAATTGTTCCGCGGACAGGTACGGTGGTTGAAGACCACTGCAGTAGAGCATTAAAGAAGATTTTGAGCTGAATCCGTAGTCCTTGGAGATCCATATAATAGCAATGAATGGTGACAGGTTTATTGGATTAAAAATAAACACATGCAAACGAGTCCAAATCAATAGCCGTGGCTCCTGCTGACACACTGAGGTCTTGTAAAGTCAAACGATTGTCCGTGTAAGAAACTGAATATTCATTCAGTCATTATTTTATTGGCTTTATTAATCAGGGGTCACCACAGTGGAATGAACTGCCAACTTATCCAGCTTATGTTTTATGCAGTGGATGCCCTCTCCATCACTGGGAAACACCCATACACTTTCATTCACACACATACACTACGGACAATTTGGCTTACCCAAATCCCCTATAGCGCATGTGTTTGGACTGAGGGGGAAACCGGAGCACCCGGTGCAAACCCATGCCAAAACACGGGGAGAACATGCAAACTCCACACAGAAACGCCCACTGACCCAGATGAGGCTTGAACCAGCGACTCCAAGACCTGTGCCTCTAGGAACAGGGTTGGGAAACACTGCATTCAAGTACTTGTGTTTGATTAGCATTGGTTTGTCATCTGTGTTTTCTGTGCTTCAGGATAACCATCACAAGAGTGGCAGCTGATATCTCTCTGGCCAAACGCTCAGTACTGAACAACCCCAGTAAACACGCCATCATCGAGCGCTCAAACACACGCTCCAATCTAGGTGAGAGCAACACTTGCACACTCCTCTGCTCTTTGAAACTGACCCTTTTAGACGTTGACCCTAATTGTGGCATTTTGGTTACTGTCGCTTTAAATGCAAACGAGATTGTGCTCTTTTCAAAAGAGGGCGGAGCTACAGATGCCTATGTGTCAGCATAAGTGGCAGATTCAAAAACAGCATGCTAATGAGGGAGAGATGGTCACTAGTGGGCGGGGCTTTCCCCCTCTGATGACACGTACAAAGAGAGAATGTCAATCAAAGTGTTTCTGCAGACTGTTTTCATCAAGTCTGATTATAAAAAGTAGATTTAATACATGTTTAGCATTAGAGCCTGGTTATATTTACAGACTGCTACTAAACAACCCCCCCTATAAAACTTTTACTTTACTGTAATGCCTTCATTCTGTGAATTGTGTCTGTTTGTTTGTGTGTAGCGGAGGTTCAGAGCGAGATCGAGAGGATATTTGAGCTGGCCCGAACGCTGCAGCTGGTGGTTTTGGACGCCGACACAATAAACCATCCGTCACAGCTGGGGAAAACCTGTCTGGCACCCATCATTGTCTACATCAAGATCACCTCTCCAAAGGTTCACACTCAGATTAGACACACACACACAGCTCTTGTGCATGTGTGTGAAATAAGGGTGTGAACTTATGGTCTCACGGTTCGGGTTATGATTAACGACTGCAATGTTTTGCATACACAATTTTTAACTTGACTTAACATGAAGACGGTTTTTAATTCTAGCAGTCAGATATAAAGTTGAAGTCAAAGTTATTCGCCCTCTCGAAATTTTTCACAGTATTTCCTGTAATATTTTTTCTCCTGTAGAAACATTATTAACTTATTAGCTTATTTGTTTTATTTCAGCTAGAATAAATTTAAAGCCATCTTAAGGTCAATATTATTAGCCCCTTTAAGCTATATTTGTTTTGGATTGTCTACAGAAATAAACACTGTTGTACAGTGACTTGCCTAATTACCCTAACTTGCTTATTTAACCTAGTTTTACCTACTTTTAAGCCTTGTAATGTTTTCAAAATCAGTATACAGTTCAGACCTAACGATTTATTATTTAATGAAACAGCCATCATATTTGTTACGGATTAAAAAGGATGTCATGAAAACAACTTCACTGTCATGCTAGTAAAAACTGTAGAGTAGCCCATTACTACTTTTAAATGAGTTACTCAATGTTGCATATTTCGACTTTTCTCTCTATATTCTCTCTCTGACAGTTTGTTATGACGTTGATGTTGAAGTAGCATCACTGCTATGTGTTGTGTGTGTCGATCTTTCAGGTTTTGCAGAGATTAATCAAGTCCCGAGGAAAGTCTCAGGCCAAACATCTCAATGTACAGATGGTGGCAGCTGACAAACTGGCCCAGTGCCCTTCAGTGAGAGCACACGCACGCACACACACACGCACGCACACACGCACGCACACGCACACACACACACACACCTATTATTATTTCTTTTGACATGGCTCTATGATGACATTGTATGGGTTTCTATTTTAGTCTCATATACTAGATTTTTAATTATCCAAGGTCAAAAACTCTTTCATTTTCTCAGCATATTATTGCAGCATCAGCTCTTTCTCTGTGTCTGAAACTGTTCAATGACCCAGTCCCTATTTTCCACCCATTTTAGAGAAACTACTTTGCTCTTATTGGTCAGATGATCCTCCACTATTTTGCTCTAATTGGTCAGATGATCCTCCACTATTTTGTTCTGATTGGTCAGATGATCCTCCACTATTTTGCTCTAATTGGTCAGATGATCCGCCACTATTTTGCTCTAATTGGTCAGATGATCCGCCACTATTTTGCTCTGATTGGTCAGATGATCCTCATCTACTTTGCTCTGATTGGTCAGATGATCTGCCACTAATTTGCTCTGATTGGTCAGATGATCCTCATCTACTTTGCTCTGATTGGTCAGATGATCCTCCACTACTTTGCTCTGATTGGTCAGATGATCCTCATCTACTTTGCTCTGATTGGTCAGATGATCCTCATCTACTTTGCTCTGATTGGTCAGATGGCCCTCATTCACTTTCTTTTGATTGGTCAGATAACTCCTCCTTTGCTCTGATTGGTCAGATAAAGCTCTACATTGCTCTGACTGATCAGATGACCCTCATCTACTTTGCTCTGATTGGTCAAATGCCGCTTCTTTAACCGTCTGTGATTGGTCAGATGATCCTCCTCTACTTTGCTCTGATTGGTCAGATGATTCTCCTTTGCTTTGATTGGTCAGATAAGCCTCCCCTATCTTGCTCCGATTGGTCAGATGACTCCTCTGCTTTGCTTTGATTGGTCAGATGATCCTCCTCTACTTTGCTCTGATTGGTCAGATGATCCTCCTCTCCTATGCTCCGATTGGTCAGATGATCCTCCTCTAATTTGCTCTGATTGGACAAATGATCCTCCTCTACTTTGCTCTGATTGGTCAGACGATGCTCCTCTACTTTGCTCTGACTGGACAGATGATCCTCCTCTACTTTGCTCTGATTGGTCAGATGATCCTCCTCTATTCTGTTGTGATTGGTCAGATGTCCGTCCTCTATAATTAATATAAATTCAAACTACAAACACAAGTGAAAAATAAAAAAGTGTTATAAATCTATGAGGGTTTAGTGGAGAGGCTTGAGTAAAGCAGTTTGGATGATTGTTTAATATACACCCTGATGAAAAATATTTAGTTCATGTCACACTTCATCAGCATCACAATCAGTATTGTGAACATTTATAAACATACGATATGTCATTAGGTTTTAATGGCACAATTATCCAAACACATGAGTAGATCTCTCAGCACGAAGAGCACTGAAATGCCAGATTAACAATGCTGCATCTCTGATATGGTAGGAAATTATTAATAAAAGAAATGTGAATGATGCGACAAGATGATAGACAAGGCATGTAACTTAGCAACAGAAAAGTTCATTAATGGTGAAGTGTGTTGTCCCACATGCACAAAAAGAGCATACATGGACCCTTTTCACATTCATGGGTTTCTCAGCAACAGAAGTGGTCATAGTTGGTAAACTTACGCCCCATTCAGTGTCCCTGGACGTCAGCGTCAACTCTTCCCATTCACTTTAAATGGGTGATGTCAGGCATTGCTGAACTGCATTGTGGATCCGTCTGCGCCGCTTCAGAGGCGTTGCTCGCTGCAGAAGTTGGGACTAGCTCAACAGACGGAAGCTACAGCCAATCAGATCGCTGTATGCAAATACACCAGCTAGACAGTGGCCTATTGCTGACTGAATTTCATTGGCTGACGCTTCTATGACGATCCCTACAACCCCAACTTCAGACACACCTTCAGTCAAGCGTTGACGCTGCAGCCCCGTGTGAATGGGGCGTCAGAGCGTAGTGAATGGCAGAGTATAACAAATAATCTTTTTACTATCCTTTTTGCTGAAATAACAAACAAAAAACTCCACCATGGTGTTATTAAGACTTTCAGAAAGAGGAAAACAATAGTGTGAGACTGACAACAGCAGATAGAAGAGAGAATAATGTCAGATTTACTGTGCCTCCATACACACTGCATTACCTACACTTCACACAAGCGGCCATTCATTGTTTTGTTTTTTTGTAATTTGATGCAAAGATGATTTAATACATACATAAACACATATAAATGTTCATATGCTATTTAAAGAAAATCTAAATATTAACATTGTTCAAGGATTTTAGATGCTGATGAGCGTTAAACACATCATAACAGTCTTGTAAACAGGGTCCATTAGGAGATTTGGGACGCAGCACCAATAAATGTTTGTTTCTCCTCCCTCCAGGAGCTCTTTGACATTATTCTAGATGAGAATCAGCTGGAAGACGCCTGTGAGCACATGGCCGACTATCTGGAGCTATACTGGAAGTCCACTCATCCTCCCAGTGGCGCTCCGTCCACTCCACTGCTGGACAAACTGAGCGCAGTGACCGCAGCTGCAGTGGCCTGCAAAGAGCAGCTGACCAACACACAACCCAAGGTGAAGAAACAGCTCACACACACACTTACATGGGCAAACTCAGAGAGAGAAACAAAACATGTTCAAGAAGAAAAGAGTGATTAAAACAAATATTTGGACTCAAGTATCATTCGTTAATATGGAGGAGGCGGGGTTTATGACTTATACTGCATCCAGCATCCAGGGGGCGATCAAAGAGCTGGGAGCTTCACTCGTAAGGATGAGTGAAGCACACAAGTTCGGAAAAAGAGGCTGTTTCTCAATATGCGTTCTTCAGCGGTCTTGCGTCATCGTGTTCTCGTGTAACGTCATCATCAGCTGACAAAGTTCAGTTCCATGACTCAAGACCGCAAGTACGGAGGACGCGTGAAACTTCCCGGATGTGATCTTGATATCAAGGACGCACTGATGCAGACTTGAGCACCAATCTCGCTCTAGAAGTCCCAGAAGTCATTGCGACTGGAGCATAGATATATACACTAGATGTCGCCTGGCCTATCGTTGTCTATTGTACAGAATGCGTCAATAGCGCCGCCAACTTGCTACAGGGTAGCGCTCCTTTGAAATGAATGCGGGACCAAGGTACAGTGGAGGACTGTGGCCATCCAAAGCCAGAGATATACACATATATATTTATGATCGGGAGTTTTCCTAGATGTTAGTATGTAATTTTTTTTTCTAATTACGAAATTTATAATTTTACATCACTTTTCTACATTGATGGATCAGTGACCGCACGGGCATTCCTGACAAAAAGCTTGTGTTTGTGTGTACAGAAATGTACTATCCACCCTGCCTGTTAAATTTGATCTAATCATGTCCTGAAACACAGCTCCTCTCCTGCTTTCACTTCTCATACTGACGGAGGGAGCGATTCGTTTGTGAATGAATCTCCCGAACGACTCTTTCACTAACGTTAGCCGACAATAATACAAGTTTCTGGCAGCGCAGCATCTCGTTGTCATTTCTTTTGCATTGTTTGCTGATTTTATTCAACAAAACTAGCATAAGCCGAGTGTTTAGTGCGAGTTGGAGCTGCTTTGCCGTATGGTGAATGCAGTAAGTGACTGTTATCATCAATAACGTTACCTGATTAGCACAAAAGTTCAGAACATACAAAAACAGAAAAAACATAATATTACCTATGAAATGTTCTGCCTTTGTGCTTTGATTTCTTTGTTTGCTCGTTACTACACCCGTAGACAGCACTAAAGTCCCGCATCTTCATGTAATAACACTGTCTTGACTAGTGCGGTTGAATGACAGTTGTCCTGGGAGAACTGTACCAATGTGGCGGCGCTATAGAAGCATGCTCAGGGTCCCTATGCGATATCTAGTGTATATATCTATGCGACTGGAGGTGGGAAGCGCAGCATTTTATTTAGATTATTATTAAAGTTCAGAGATATGACTTATTTACCTCAGGAGTTTCCCTAAAGGAAATGGTGAAAGTAAACATTGCCATGAACATCTTCATACAGGAATGAACACATTAAGGGTGTTTGTTTGCTGAAATTCGTATTAAAATCTGTTTTATTTATATTGTGCAGAGTATATTTATAATGTTTTTATGCAAATTATATATTTTGAAGAGGGGAAAAACAATAAATTGTTGTATGAGTGCTGCAATGTTTAAATAATTTACCATTTGAAACACGTGAAGGTCACGTGACCATCAGGAAGAACGCAGCGCCTCATTTCTCAAAGGACGCGTTCTCTGCCCTCGCGGTCTCCTGAGTTCGTTCTTCCGAGGACACCTGGCAAGACCGCTCGCCACAAGAACACAAGTCTGTTCTCTGTGTTCTTGGAATTGAGAAACAGCCATAATGAAGTTAAAACGTTTCTTTAAAATACATTTTAACACCTTAGTTGGTAACAACTGCCTATTATTGGTAGTCGAGTACTAAGCCGAAAATAAAATAAATGAATGAATATACAAAACAACTGAACATAATCCAGAAAAAAGATAATAAATAAAACAACACAAGTACTTATTTGAATGATGCTTGATCTTAATCTAGCAGAACGCTCAAGCAATTTCCAGAAATAGTCACAACTAATCAAACAAACAAGAGTCATAAATGTTACTGCAAGATTAACCGTGCGTGATGTTCATGTGTTTTTGCAAATATGCTAATAACTCTGTCGACAAACACTACGGCTTGTCAGACTGAGGAGGCTGTTCCTATTGCAGATGAGTAGCCTCAGTCACGGTGAGTGTGTGTGTGTGTGTGTGTGTGTTTTCACATGATCATATTCAGGTAAAACTTTATGATTTAAGGAATAACTCACCCTAAACCCCTCACATCAGGGGTCACCAATCTCAGCCCTGGAGGGCCATTGTCCCTGCAGGGTTTAGCTCCAACTTGCCTCAACACACCTGCCTGGACGTTTCAAGTATACCCAGTAAGACCTCGATTAGCTTGTTCAGGTGTGTTTGATTAGGGTCGGAGCTAAAATCTGCAGGACACCGGCCCTCCAGGGACAAGTTTGGTGACCACTGCTTCACATACTCATTATGTCAGTGGTGTCCAAACTCGGTCCTGGAGGGCCGCTGTCCTATAGAATTTAGCTCCAACCCTAATCTACACACCTGAAGCAGCTTATCAAGCTCTTAGTAGATATACTAGAATATACTTCCTGTAGGTGTTTTTAAGCAAGTCGGAGATAAACTCAGCAGGACACTGGCCCTCCAGGATCGAGTTTGGACATGCCTGCATTATGTGCTTTCATTACATGTTAAAGTGCTGCATGAATATCCACTTTCCAACACAATAACGAGGCAATAAAATAAAAACTTATACTTAAAAATAATAAGCTGCATAGGAAATGAGTTCGGTTTTGGGTGAACTGTTCCTCTAAATCGTACTGTTGGTGGCTATTTGATTGAGAGTTACTATATTTTTATTCTCTGCTAAGAAATCTACTGTGTTTTTGCAGTGATTTTAGGCCGTACTCACACTAGGTACAGCTGCCTCGAACCGTGCCAAAGCATGCTTGTCCCCCCTCCCGTCTCCCCCGACGGCCCGTGCTCACACCACAAACGGGCTTCGGCACGCTTACGTCATCGCTGCTGCGCTGTTCAGTGAGAAGCGCTCTCTCACTCAGCAGCACAGTGGAGATTTCTCTAGTTATATCGTTTCAGTCGGTTTGATATGCCGTCAAATATTTCGCCAAACAGTCCTTAGGGATGCGGGGACACGCAGTCAGATATTTAGCCGAACAGATCCGCCACTTTTGCCGCTCATAAACAATCATAAAGCTCTCGTGCTGCAGGAATGAGGAGGTCTGCTGAAGGCGCAGCTGTCCTGCAGTGAGGGGTTTGCGTTTTTAATAAACTACGGCAGTTTGCGTTCACTGAACAGTAAGAATGATTAATAAATCCATATGAAACAGCCCCTTAAAAGTCACGTCTCGCTTTCAGTTTCGAGCCCAAGTGAACCGCGCTCATTCAGCGCACTCACACTTCTCAAACGATCCGGGAAACGGGCCTGGGCACGGTACGGATGGCATAGTGTGAGTAGGCCCTTAGTGTGTGTGTGTGCTGTATTAAAAAGTCATATTGATGAAATGATGATGATTTTGGGAACACTTTACACTTAGGTTCAATGTGGCAACGTTAGTTAATCACATGTAATTATAGAGTAACTATATATACAACACATAATGCAATTACTCAACATATTGTGTGTTTATTTTTCCTAAACATTAGAAAAAACTAATTATATATATGGGCCACTCTTCAACTAAGGGCACTTTTAGCCTTGTGAAGTTGAGAAAAAAAAAGCCTGTCAATGCAAGCCTCTTCTCCCACTCTTCACACACTGATAGCAACACTGCAGGAGAAATGCCAGCACAGGCTTCCAGTATCCGTAGTTTCAGGTGCTGCACATCTTGTAGCTTTACACCATAGACAATTGCCTTCAGATGACCCCAAAGATAAAAGTCTAAGGAGGTCAGATCGGGAGACCTTGGGGGCTTTTAAACTGGCCTACGACGACCAATTTAGTTTTCAGGAGACTGTTCATCTAGGAATGCTCGGACCTGACACCCATAATGTGGTGGTGCACCATCTTGCAGGAAAAACTCAGGGAACGGGCCAGCTTCAGTGCATAAAGAGGGAAACACATAATCATGGAGCAATTTTAAATATCCAGTGGCCTTGAGGTTTCCATTGATGAAGAATGGCTCCACTATCTTTGTTGTTTATGGTGTGAAGATACAAGATGTGCAGCGTCTGAAACTACGGATACAGGAAGCCTGTCCTGGCATTTCTCCTGCGGTGTTGCTATCAGTGTGTGAAGAGTGGAAGAAGAGGCTTGCATTGACAATCCAACATAATGAGCAGCACATTAAACACATTTTATAAGTGGTCAGAAACTTGTAAATAACTCATGAAAGAATAAAGTTAGAGTAAAACCAAGCACACCATTGTTTTTCTTGCGAAATTTCTAATAAGATTGATGTGTCACATGACCCTCTTCCTATTGAAAAAAAAAAAGTTGGATCCAAGATGGCCGAATTCAAAATGGTCACTACCCGTCTTGAAAAGTTTGCCCCTCACATATACTAATATACAAACAGGACGTTAATATCACCAACCATTCCCATTTTATTAAGGTGTATCCACATAAATGGCCCACCCTGTATATAATTGAGTGTGCAAATCATGACCTCTTGAGTTATTTTGTATGTATCGCTCAAACAGGGCACCGGCAGTGATGAGCATGCAGATCGAGCAGCGGCCAACAGGACTAGCTTTTATGAAGACTATCATCACCATCATCATCCTCAACAGCAACACTACCAGACACAGAAGCAAGAAAGCTTTGAAGAAGAAGAGGAAGAAGAAGATGATGATGAAGAGAATACTGACCAAAGACACGACAACAGAGACCAACAAAACCATCACAAAAACCAGCACTCTTCATCCACACGGACCGAACGCCATCATCACCACCGCCACCACCACCATCATCATCATCACAGACACCATCATAGTCGCACCGCCAGAACACTGTCCAAACAGGAGACACTAGAGTCCACTGAAACCCAGACACACTCGCAACCGCAGCAGGAGGAGGAGCAGGAGTCTGTTCAACCCAACCATCATCGTCATCACCACCATCACCATCGTCATCATCACCGTAATGAGAAAGAGAAGGAATACGATCACAACGAGAGGAACAGCCGGCAAAGAGGAAAGCAGAAATCACAACGAGAACACCACCATCATCACGAGAGGAGAAAACATTATATAGAACAATGACACACACACACACACACACACACACACGTGGTACAAACACACACACACAAACTTGAGCTTTTCTACGGGCATTCATTCACTAGCCTAACGTCAATAGCTATATTTCCATCCACATATTTTTTTGAGGCGAAAAATTATTAGAGAGATCGATTTATTGCATCGCAATTCTTTCTTAAATCGATTCTGAACTTAGTGTTTAACAGCAGACGGCGCTCTAGGCTAGCGTTTAACAGCAGACGGCGCTCTAGGCTAGCGTTTAACAGCAGACGGCACTCTAGGCTAGTGTTTAACAGCAGACGGCGCTCTAGGCTAGCGTTTAACAGCAGACGGCGCTCTAGGCTAGCGTTTAACAGCAGACGGCTCTCTGGGTTAGTGTTTAACAGCAGACGGCGCTCTAGGCTAGTATTTAACAGCAGATGGCGCTCTAGGCTAGTATTTAACAGCAGATGGCGCTCTAGGCTAGTGTTTAACAGCAGATGGCCCTCTAGGGTAGTATTTAACAGCAGACGGCACTCTAGGCTAGTGTTTAACAGCAGATGGCGCTCTAGGGTAGTGTTTAACAGCAAATGGTGCTCTAGGCTAGTATTTAACAGGTGATGGCGCACTGGGTTTGTTTTAAACAGCAGACGGCGCTCTAGGCTAGTGTTTAACAGCAGACAGCGCTCTAGGCTAGTGATTAACAGCAGATGGCGCTCTAGGCTAGTATTTAACAGCAGACGGCGGTCTAGGCTAGTATTTAACAGCAGACGGCGGTCTAGGCTAGGTTTAACAGCAGATGTTGCTCCAGGCTTGTATTTAACAGCAGATGGTGCTCTAGGCTACTGTTTAACAGCAGACGGCGCTCTAGGCTAGTGATTACCAGCAGATGGCGCTCTAGGTTTGTTTTTAACAGCAGATGGCACTCTAGGCTAGTGCTTAACAGCAGACAGCACTCTAGGCTAGAGTTTAACAGCAGACGGCGCTCTAGGCTAGTGTTTAACAGCAGATGGCGCTCTAGGCTAGTGTTTAACAGCAGACAGCACTAAAGGCTAGAGTTTAACAGCAGATGGCATTTTAGGCCAGTGTTTAACAGCAGATGGCGCTCTAGGCTAGTGTTTAACAGCAGACGGTGCTCTAGGCTAGTGATTAACAGCAGATGGCGCTCTAGGTTTGTTTTTAACAGCAGATGGCGCTCTAGGCTAGTGTTTAACAGCAGACAGCACTCTAGGCTAGAGTGTAACAGGAGACGGCACTCTAGGCTAGTGTTTAACAGCAGACGGCGCTCTAGGCTAGTGTTTAACAGCAGACACCACTCAAGGCAAGAGTTTAACAGCAGATGGCCCTCTAGGCCAGTGTTTAACAGCAGATAGCACTCAAGGCTAGTGTTTAACAGCAGACGGCGCTCTAGGCTAGTGTTTAACAGCAGATGGCGCTCTAGGAGCGCCGTCTGCTGTTAAACACCAGCCTAGAGCGCCATCTGCTGTTAATCACTAGCCTAGAGCGCCATCTGCTGGCCTAGAGCCAATCTAGGCTCTGAATTCATTCAAGAGAAAATAGTGATGCACTCTGAAAATCTCAACATCGATGCAGAATGAGTTTCTTACTATTTGTCACCACAACTTATTTTGGCACATTAAAGGGACAGTTCAACCAAAAAAGGATATTCTGTTATAGATACTTTTTCTGTTAGAAAACACATTGGTTTTCTCAAACATCAGGCACTGCCTCCAAATGCAGGAACGCCAGAGTTTATTACGCTGTGTGTTTTCTGACACTTAGAAATGCAACTCATTTACTATAAGAGGAAAATAGAGAGATGAAGAGTATTGTCAGCTTGAAAATAGCATTTTTATTACTCAAACATTGTGACAGTTTTCCAGGAAGTGATGATGGGATGGAAATGGAGTTTTATTCACAAATGTTTTATGCAATATTTAAATTTTGCACATTAAATACATTTCAGATGGAAATATAGCTGTTGTCATGTGTTTTTAAAAGGGGATCAAATGTGTGCATCCGTTTGTTTTCCATGCGTGGACATAAGACAGGATAGATATTAATTTAATATTGCACGAATGGTGAAATGTGTCTCTGTAAAGGCTGCCTATTTATTTTTCATATTTTTATAAGCGAAAATTGATTTGTCAGATTATTGAATGACTGGTTCATAGGTGCATGTTATTCCAAAGAAAAAAAAAATAGTTTGTAGATTTTTTTTTTTTATAATCAAAAATAAATAATAGTGTGTTCTGCCTCTGGAACATGTTTTTCACATACGTGAGTGGCATTTTCACTGAATAACGCAAGGTTATGCATTTCCAGCTAAGAGTTAAATTATGAAATATTATTTGATAGTGAATGTTTTTGCTCTCTCTCTCTCTCTCTCTCTCTCTCTCTCTCTTAGAACTGCAAAAAAGAAATTAAAGTGAGATGTAAACTTAGAATGTAGGTTTAGGAAAAAGTAAAAAATTGCATTATTTATTTATTAAAACTCAAAAATGTTGGATTTAAACTGAAAATTTTAAGAAAAGAGTCAGAAGATGTGAGATGTAAAGCCAGAATTAAGAATCAAAAGTCACTTTTGAGATGTAAAGTCAAAATTCTGAAGGAAATAATTGAACTGAATGAAGAAAAGTCAGAATTCAGATGGAAAAACAGGCATAATAATTCAGAAAAAACAGGTCAGAATTACGAGATTTCACTTAGGAAGAAAATAATTCAGAGTAGCGAGATTTAAACGCAGAAAAAAATCTGAATTAACGTGAGAACTAAACTCAAAGTTCACTTTTCTTTAGAAATTGAAGAAAAGTCCAGAGTATAAGGTGAAAAAAAGCCCGAATTGTGAGATCTAATTTTTTATTTATATTGGATGTAAACCAATAATTTCGAGGGGGAAAAAGTTTGATTGTTCAGACTTTTAAGAAATGTTAGATATGTGCGATGCAGAGTCAAAATTCTGAAGGAAAAAGATGCATAATACACTTAAAATTCCTGGAAAAACAAGCCAGATTTAAGAGATATACAGTAAACTTATCATTAGAAGGAAAATCGATCAGAAATGTCAGATGAAAACTCAGAATTCTTTGAAAAGACAGTCAGAGTTTGAGATCTAAACTAAATCTAAATTACCTAAAATTAATAAAACAAATTGAGTTTTATGATTCTTTAAAAATCAAGGCAGAAATGATGCCATAAAAGTGTCAAAAATGGCTAAATGTCTTCCCTTGTTGAAGTCTGTTTGTTTGTTGCTTCTAACTCTGTTATTGGATACTATGTTCACCCAGAAAGACATTGCATTAGTTCAGCGTTTCCCAACCCTGTTCCTGAAGGCACAGCAACAGTACAGATTTTCATCCTCTTCCTATTCAAACACGCCTGAATCAACTCATCAGAACATTAGAAGAGACTCCAAAACCTCAAATAAATGGGTCAGATAAGGGAGACATCCGAAGTATGTTCTGTTGGTGTGTCTCCAGGAGCAGGGTTGGGAAGCACTGCATTAGGCTGTATGTGTTTTCTGCTGTTCTAGAAAATGCTTCTTGATTTACATTTTTTTGGATATTTAAACTTGAAACAAGACAAAAAAAAATTGTGAAGCATTTTTTTTTTTTTGCAGTGTGAGCATTTTTAAAAGCGCAAAAACGATTCAGTGAACACGCGTCCTTAGAGAAGAAAAATGTGTCGTGAAAGGCATTCGATGTTGAATTCACCACTGCATCTTCACTGCTGTTCTTCAGTCAGTTCGAAAAACAAAACAGGACATTCGCGGATGTCATTTTTATTTTTATTATTGTTATTTAATAGAAATGATCTGTGTGTTAATGTGGAAAAGGTGTGTATTGCCTTACATACAGGATAAAGACATTACAAGAGAGACATGATGGTTTTGGTTTGTTTCTCCGGCACTTTCTGAACAAGTCTGTCGTTGTACATTTGTTTTCACAAGTATTGTCTTTAAAATGATTCAAATATTATTATTAAAACACAGGGGACTGTATTACTGCGGCTTACGGGTAGTAATTATGGTTACACATTACAATGAGGTTGTGTCAGTTAATGCATTTACCAACATGAACACAAAATAAACAATACATTTACTGCATTTATTTATGTTAATGTTCATTCATTCATTTTCCTTCGGCTTAGTCCCTTTATTCTTCATAATTCACCACAGGGGATTGAAACGCCAGCATGTTTTAAGCAGCGGATGGTCTTCCAGCGGCAACCCAGTACTGGGAAACACCCATACACATTCATTCACACACACAGCCAATTTAGTTTATTCAATTCCCCTATAGCGCATGTGTTTAGACTGTTGGGGAAACTGGAGGAAACCCACGCCAACATGGTGAGAACATGCAAACTCCACATAGAAATGCCAACTGACCCAGCCGGGACTCGAACCTGCGATCTTATTGCTGTAAGGCGACAGTGCTAACCACTGAGCCACCGTGTCGCCAGTGCATAGTGCACTAACTCATGTGACACACATGAATAATGTTAATGCATTAGTAGAGGTTTAACTATGATTATTAAATGCTGTTCAAGCGTTGTTCATTGTTAGTCTATGTTAGTAAATACATGAATTAAGCCTTATTGTAAAGTGTACCTAATTACAGTGGTAGTGCATTTACAAAATCATAATCATTTACTAATATTCTATGTGGTATTGTTAAAATGGCATTTAATATTAAAGAAAAATTAAGAGACTTCATACATTTTTGGTTATTAATTCTCTTTACATTTATTGGAGAGGGCAACAAAAACATGTGATTGTAAGAAATGATCCTGCTCAGATGTTAACACCCCCTCATTATGGTCTGTGTGTGTTTTGTGATGATATTTAGGATTTGTCCTGAATAATTAAACACACAGACTGAATATACAGTATGATAATGATCCAGCTTTTCACACTAAACAATCACTATACAGTCATGAATAATAATAATATTAAATATTATTATTATTATTGCTCCAAATCACGATTAAGCACATCCAAAATAAAAGTTTGTTTTGACATATAAAAATATATATTTTTTTATTCAACAGCTCTGTCTGGTTCTTGAATCTGATTGGCTGATAGCCGTGTGATATTCTGCCAGTAACAGCACTCATACAGCCTCTTCACCCCTGTGTATTACGCAGAGGACACTCTACAGTTTGACAATTATTGCAGCTGTTGGACAACATAATGTACTTTTGAGGATTTTTAGTTGAGAAAGTTGTTTAGATCGCAACTGTGCAGTTTATTTATAAGGACAGTGCCTATTTTAAATATTTATAATTTCTGAGAGAAAGCGCATCGGCGGCTATTAGCCTGTTATTGAGCAGACTAAAGACGGTCGACGTTGTCTATCCACATTCAATTTCCATCCAACTTCTAACAACAGATGATCAAACCATTATAAAACTGGTAAGTGACGTTATAAATCTCTCTCTTTTGTATATAATGATTTTAAAGCACACTGAACTGAACTTAAACACTAAAAACTGAACTACTCTGTTCCAGTTACTACGACCATTTATGTGAAGCTGCTTTGACACAAACTTTATTGTAAAAGCGCTATACAAATAAAGCTGAATTGAATTGAATGTGTTGTAGTGCTGTATTTATACTATAGTTATTGCAGTATGTTGAGTGTGAGATGGGACTCACATATTAGGAATGTGTGTATTTTGTGTAGGCCACTCTTCGTATAACCAAAGAGTAACTGTCTTTGAGTTACTACTTGTTTGGCCATCTGTTTCTACTGCGAAAGAAGAAATGCCCGCATGTGTTTAACATTTTTCCTTATCACAAACACAACAGCAATCGCCAGACATGAACATTATTGAGCATGTCTGGGGTAATATGATAGGAGGCACTATAGATTCTGTCACCACTGCAGCAGGACTTTATAATCTATACTGGACATTATTTCTGTTCAGTGACGAGACTTAAGTCTAAGCAGAGCCAGACCTTACTGTCCTTATGAAATCAGTCAACATCAAGGCATGATCATGTTTTATTTCTTCTGATACCAAATGATCATCTAAAAGTCAAGTTATTAATTGCTGTTCCTAAAACTTGGATAGGCGACAAGACTTACAGGCAGTGTGTTACCAATAAGCAATCTCTCTCACTCCAAAAAAAAAAAGTAGTAATTCACACACACAAAACCACGCCAGTAAAAACACCACCTGATATTTAGCAAAAGTCTGTGCTTGTTCTGTCTCGTACCTCCACTATCTCTTGCTGAACTTTGCGATGAAGAAGCCGATGGTGTCCTGGTTTGCGTCCTGCGGGAGTTTCTCTAGTGAAAATGTGAAACGCTCTCCTGTCCAGCCCAATTCTGGACGAAACCTCTGCAGGAGCCGCCGCTGCTCACATGACAGACCGGCTCCCAGCATGCCCTCTGATCCCACATGAGGAACCTGAACCAGATAAAACAATACTTGGTTTGACGGATGCTCACATGGCGCCTGAAATGATTCAGTTCAGCTCACTTTTGGGGCAAGTTGACAACACTGGTCACGTTAGTGAAGGTGATGTGATTATATTAGATTCTGAGCTTAGTTTAATGGCAAATGATGCTCTACGCTAGTTTATAGGCTATTGTTTATTGGCAATTGGTGCTCTAGGCTAGTTTATAGGCTAGCTTTTAACACCAGATGGTGCTCTAAACTAGTTTATAGAATAGTTTTTACCAGCAGATGGCGATCTAGGCTTTTTTTTTAACAGCAGATGTAGCTCTAGGCTAGTTAATAGCACCAGATGGCACTCTAGGCTAGTTTATAGGCTAGTTTTTAATATCAGTTGGAACTCTAGGCTAGATTTTAACAGTAGACAAAGCTCTATACTAGTTTTTATCAGCAGATGGCCCTCTAGGCTAGTTTATGAGCTAGATTTTAAGAAGCAGATGGTGCTTTGGGCTAGTTTATGGTACCAGATGTCACTCTAGCCTAGTTTATAACATGTTTAAGCACAAGATGGCGCTCTAGGCTAATTTTAAACAGCAGATCTTGCTCTAGGTTAGTTTTTAACAGCAGACGATGCTATAGGCTAGTTTATATTCTAGTTTTTAAGAAAAGATGGCGCTCTAGGCTAGTGTTTAACAGCAGGCGGCGCTCTAGGCATGTTTTTAACAGCAGACGATGCTATAGACTAGTTTATAGCACCAGATAGCACTCTAGGCTAGTTGACCCACCAGATGATGCTCTATGCTAATGTTTAACAGCATATGGTGCTCTAAGCAATTTAAAGGCTAGTTTTTAGCACAGGATGGCGCTCTAGGCTAGTATTAACTAGCAGATCTTGCTCTAGGCTAGTTTATAGTACCAGATGGCACTCTAGGCTAGTTTTAAACAGCAGACGGTGCTCTAGGCTAGTTTTTAACAGCAGACCATGCTATAGGCTAGTTTTTAGCGCCAGATAGCACTGTAGGCTAGTTGACGCACCTGATGATGCTCTATGCAAATGTTTAACAGCACATGGTGCTCTAAGCAATTTATAGGCTAGTTTTTAACATCAGACAGCGCTCTAGGCTAGATTTAACATCAGATGGTGCTCTAGGCTAGTTTTTAACATCAGACGGCGCTCTAGGCTAGTTTTTAACATCAAATGGCGCTCTAGGCTAGTTTTTATCATCAGACGGCGCTCTAGGCTAGTTTTTTACTGAACACAGCAGTCTAGGCTAGTGTTTACCAGCAGATGGCGCTCTATGTTAGTGTTTAACAGCAGGCGGCGCTCTAGGCTAGTTTTAACAGCAGCAATGTACTGCATAATTATCTGTGAAAAGGCTGAGTTGAGTGTACCATGCAGTAAAAAGACAAAAGCCTCAGCTTGAGCATATTAAACCCCTGACCTGCGGCTGAAGTGTTAAACAGGGGAAGGTCTTGAGGGCCCAGGACACCTGCTCCTCATTCTCCGCCAGAGTCACCGTGCAGGTGCTGTAGACCAGAACACCACCTGACTTTAACAGACGCACCGCCTGAAACACACACACACACACACAAACACACACACAAACACACACACACACACACACACAAACACACACACAAACACACAGACAAACACAAACACACACACACGTTTGTTTTTGTGAAAAGTGGGGACATTACATAGGTTTCCATTCATTTTATGCTCTCCAAACCGTATATTATATTGCCTTCACCCCACCCTACCCCTAAACCCAACCATCACAGGAGACAGTGTGCAGCTTTACTCGCTGATTAAACTCATCCTGTAGGATTAATAAGCATTTTGAGAAATGAGGACGTCACTAATGTCCTCATATTTCACCCTTCCTTTTTGTAATACCTGTGTCATACCCATGTCATTATACAGATTTGTGTCCTGATATGTCACAAAAACACACACACACACACACACCTTTATCTTTAAGATCAACACTTGACTTTCCAATACCAACACTTCTATTTTTCTTCAATGTCAGGACTTTTATTTAAGTTAAATGAGACCTATTATGCAAAAATCACTTTTATAAGGGGTTGAAACCCAACAACAGTGTGTAAATACAACCAGTTCCTATTGGTTAACATATATTTTAATTTACTTTTTAATCTATTTATTTAGTTTATGTTTTATAATCACTCTTGATGAAAACAGTCTGCAGAGACACTTTGATTGACATTCTCCCTTTGTACGTGTCATCAGAGGGGGAAAGCCTCGCCCACTGGTGACCATCTCTCCCTCATTAGCATAGGATGTTAAGTCTTGTTTTCGAATCTGCCACTATCCTGACACACAGGCATTTGTAAATCCATCTTTTAAGAAGAGCATTATAACTGCATTTAAAGTGACAGTTCCCAAAACACCACAATTAGGATCAAAACCTGAGAGGGACAGTTTCAGAGAGTTAGAATACATTATTAGTGTGATATTTTGAGCTGACACTTTACACACACACTAGAGACATCAGAGATCAGAGAGAAAGGGGCATAATAGGTCCCCTTTAATGTGTTTTTCACTTTAAGCAGCTTTTTGTCATATTGTATTGTGGATATAGCGCCACTCTGTGGTGAAAGACAGGAGTATCAGGAACACAGAGGAGTGTAGGAGTGTAGTTTTACCGTGGTAAAGAGTTTTCTCTGCAGAGGCTGGTATGAACACACTTCTTTGAGACTCCAGCTGTAGCTCATGTTTGGTCTTTGACCCAAACCACTGCATGGAGCATCTAACAAGATGCGGTCAAAACTCTCCTCCGGAAACGGGGGACCTTCAGAAAATACAAACAACCACAACATTAGTAAATACATCAGGTTAATAACCGTACGTTCACACCGAAAGCGCGGTTCGGCGGCAACCAATCAGAATGAAGACGTCCATCGCTTGATAGCAGTTCAGAGAACACAGACCTGTGAACTTTGGTTCCGACCACAGTTGTTCCCAAGGGTTTGATTATTGCGGTCGCCGGATTTCCAATTATTTACAATTTTTTCCTACAGGAACATACATTAAATAAGTTACTGGCGAGTTACTGATGTTCATTAATGTTATATAAATTTATCTCAAAAAAGCGGGAATCTCACGCGATGTGACAGTATAAAACAGTACTGCTGCTATTTCAGACATATGGACACATATTGGATAAATAGAGCAAAGCCACATCACACGCAACTTGATCTTCCATTGTTGTATGAATTTGATAAGAAGTGCGCAACATTTTCACGCTAGAAACAGGTTTTATGCAGGAATGTAACTGATATGCTGCAACGGCTCCTTTAAATACGAGATCAATGTAGCGAGTTTTGACGCTCTCGCCGCCGGAGCTGAAGGCAGAGAGCGTTATCGTCAGGGCGGCCAGAGCGACCTTGGACGCTCTCGCCGCTTTCGGTGTGAACGTACGGTAAGAAGTTCATAAGAAGTCACATTCAGCTGAACACCTGACAAAGCAGGAAATTAATAAATACTCTAAACTATACAATAAATATGGACCTTGTGGTTTTATTGTAAAAATTGAACACATCTAAACATTATATCCATCAAAACTCAAACATTTCTAGTTAATGTTAGCATATTTCATATATGCAATGTGCTGAAACGTTTAGTATTTCATTGTTTCTTAACGATGTGTAATTGTTGGTGAAATCTTAAATTCTTTAGTCATACCAAATAACTTAATAACTATATTTTTAATTATATATACTGAAGCCTGGTTTATGATAGTGTTTTACCTTCAGTGTACTCCTGTGCAGGGTCAGAGCTCACAGCATGTATACTGTTACAGCAATACGCTTTAATACAGTCTAACTTCAGCATCTGTGCATTTCGAAGGATCTTCTCCATCTTTGAGCGGACTTTCTCCAAGGCCACAACGACACCCTGAGCAGAAACAGTGGAGATGAATGAGCATTAGGGCTGGGAGACTAAAAAATATAATAACAATATTAAATATTTATAATAAATAATAGTTTCAGCATTAAAATCTGAAGCTAAAAATGTTAATAAAATGTAAAAAAATATATATATACTTTTTTTATAAGTAAAAAAAATTATAATTAAAATTAAAATACTTTTTAAAATAATTTGCTCATTAACAAAATAAAAAGTAAAATACAAAATACACTAAATTTTACACTCCAATCTTAAACAGGTTCATTCATTCCTTCATTCATTCATTTTCCTTCGGCTTAGTCCCTTTATTCATCAGGGGTCGCCTCAGCGGAATGAACCGCCAACCAATCCACCATATGTTTTACACAGAGGATGCCCTTTCAGCTGCACCCAGTACTGGGTTGTAGCTAGAAGAACTGGGAGAACATGCAAACTCCACAGAGAAATGCCAACTGACCCAGCCGGGACTCAAACCAGCGATCTTCTTGCAGTGAGATGACCCAAGAGCCACTGTGTCGCCTACACAGGTTCATATTAAACCTTATATTTAGTTTTTCTCATGATTTTTGGTTCATTTGCATTGTTTCCACAAACGTTCGTTCATCTTTTTATTATTTTACAATGTGTACATTTATTTATTTTGAAATAATAGTTCACAATTCAAGTGACCAAACACTGCAACATAAATAAAAGTCTCTTTGAATGGTGTATTTAGTCAAATTTAATAATTGTCAAATTAATCAAATTAAAGACTGTATACAGATAAATATTTAAATCAAATAATATAAAATTGACACATTTAAACTTTCTAAAACTTAATTTCGAAAAATATTTTACGCAGTGGATTCCCTTACAAGAGCAACCCAGTACTGGGAAACACCCACACACACTCATAAACACACACTCATACACTACGGCCAATTTATGTTGTTTGACAGTGGGGGAAACCGGAGCACCCGGGAGAAACCCACACCAACACAAGGAGAACATGCAAACTCCACACAGAAATGCCAAATGACCCAGCTAGGATTCAAACCAGTGACCTTCTTGCTGTGAGGCAACAGTGCTAGCCAATGAGCCACAGTGTTGCCCTGTTAGGATGTTTCTAAAATGATTTGTTGGAGGATATTTCACTGCACTTGCCTGGTTGCCCATGAGAGAAGCGATGTGTGTGGTTTTTCCTCCAGGAGCAGCACACATGTCCAGCACTCGCTCTCCAGGCCGAGGCCCTAATACATAACCAACAACCACCGACGGCAGGTTCTGGATGGATGGGGAAAAAACAAACAAAAACATTCACAAACACAGTTCACATGAGCAAAACATTTTATAATTCAGACACTTATTTATCAGAGGTTGCCACAGCGGCATGAACCGCCAACTATTCCACCAGATGTTTTACACAGCGGATTGCCTTCCAGCCACAACCCAACACTGGGAAACACCCATATACACTCTCACGTTCACACACACACACACACACACACACACACACACACACACACACACACACACACTATGGTCAATTTAGTTTACTTAATATTACTCTATTAGCATGCCAACTTCCCCATCCAGGACTCGAACCAGTGACCTTGCTGTGAGGCGACAGTGCTAACCACTGACCCACCATTATATATATGAGCAATATCACACTCGTAGCAGTGTGCTATGGCTGTATATCAGCACTGGTAGGGGACGTGCATTGGCACGAGGCCGCAGGCTGTATACCAGTGCTGATACACAGCTATAGCACACTGCTACGAGTGTGATATTGCGTTTATACAACAGTTCGATGGCTTGATCTTGTACATAAAAAAGAAAATCAAACACAGAGAGTCTAAAACCCTTTTGTATGAGGAACTACTTTCTTCCGCCATTCATTCACATCTTCAGCTGATGTCAGAGCAGCAGAAGCCGTTACTAATTCACCAACGTCAATGTAGAGCTAGTGTTTCAATGATTCTCTATAGCGTAATGTGAAGCGGCGCTTCTGGTGTGTGACCCCCTTACGGTGATAACAAAACAGCAAATTTTGCTTACATTAAGATTATAAGGCTGAATATGACATGAAATGCCATACGTCTACAGAGATTTCTCACCAGACTGCTGTTGTGTTTGCGATAAGGAGGGACAAGGCTGAATCCAGCTTCTTACTCGCAGCTTCTTATTGACTGTATCCGGTCCACCTTAAAAACCACGAGGCTTCCGTTTTTCAGCTGTTTATTCGCGCTCAAGAGAACACACTGAACAAGGGCTTATTATGCGTTTCTGGCGCCATCTTGTGGATAGACAACGTCGTTGGCCGCCGACGAGCTCTCAGAAATTGTAAATATTTAAAAATAGGCACTATTCTTACAAATAAACTGCATAGTTGCAATTTAAACAACTACTTCTCGACTAAAACAGCCTCAAAAGTACTTTTTGTTGTGTAACAACAGCAATATTTGTCAAACTGAAGCGTCCCTGATTGTTGCTTGCTGTATGTGGGCGGAGTAATACACAGAGGTGAAGGGTGAAGAGGCCTTTGTGTGCAGTTACTGGCAAAATATTGCACGGCTATCAGCCAATCAGATTCAAGAACCAGACAGAACTGTTGTATAATTTCATATATATATATATATATATATATATATATATATATATATATATATATATATATATATATATATATATATATATACATACATACAATAGAATTAGAAACATTTGTTTGTTTACTAATAATGTTAGATTAGATTAATTATTAATAATTAGGGTAGCATTTCAGCTTAGGTCACAATTCATGCTATTCACTACTGGCTTATTATCTCCCTATTATTAAGATAAATTAGTAGTTATAACGTATGATCTTATTCTGCATCCCTAATCCTACCCAATACCTAACTTCTACCTTAATAGCTATTAATAAACAGATAATTAGTAGTTTATTAATCTAGTTGTGCTAGTTAATAATTTGTTAATAGCGTGAATTGTGACCTAAACTAAAGTGTTCCCATAATTAGATGAATTCAAGCATCAAGTGTACCTGCAGGAAGAGCTCGTCTGTAAGAACACCATCAAATGAAGGGCTCTGATAGAGAGGTTCAGTCATCCTGATGGCCAAGCCTCTGAATAACAGACAAAAGCACACGGATAAACATGAGAAACCAGCTTAGACATGATAAAACATCTGCACAGAGAACTAGGATGTATCAGAAATAACCCCTTAGGTAGTGCAGTGTTTGAGGGAGCAGCCGTTTGTAGTGGTGTCTGTTATGAAGTGTACTCAATCAATCCCACAATGCACCGAGTGTACAGCTGATGTACATGCAACAGCTAGAAAATGCTCATGATCTACCCATAAAGAATTGGTGCGCCAAATTTTAGGTTCTGACCACTAGAAGGCGTCAACGGCAAAATTGTCTCACCTGCCGGGTTTATCAGAGCTGAATAACTCTGAACGATTCACCTCTGAGACTCCATTACCCACAAACACCTTCTTCCCATTGAACTCGGTGGCTCCTCGTGTGCATTTTCCCTCCACGTCAGAGAACACAGACACCACGTCACCTGCTTTCATGACTGGACGAGGCAGAAAACACTGAAGATATTTACAACATTAAATCAACATTTATTATGCATCAGGTCGAGGAAAATGATCTGCCCATGGGCTACATAAAATTATCTTGCTTTCACTTTGAAAGAACATTATTTTGCTTCCCCTATTGGCAGATTTTTTGCTTATTTTAAGGGAAAACTCACTTTTATTTAAACATAATAAGTCCCCTTTAACTAGCATTAACCACAAGGAATAAACAGTGCAACAAACGCATTGTTTAATCATGTTAGTAAATACATAAACATATTGTAAAGTGTGACCGATAACGCTCATGCAACACCCTTAGAACAGTAACACATTATGAAACACTAGCCTAAACAGTCTAAACGACATGCTAAAGATGCTGATGAAGTGTCTGTGTGTGTGTTTTCTTACACTTGTGTGTGCTGATGATGCCTGGCGTGAACACATGAGCTCCTCTGAGAACTGCACTGCCACACTGAGAGCCCACTATCACTGCAGACGCCACAGGCTCCACGGGCCTGAAAACGAGCAAACGCACACCATTATTAACAAGCTTAAAGGGATGTGATAATAAAATAAAATATGTAAAAATAATATAGAATAAAATATAAAAAATATTCATTAAAATAAAATAAATACATTTTGAATATATAATAAATAATAAAATGTAGTTAATAGATAATAAAAAACATATATATATACGTACACACACACACACACACACACACATACATACATACATACATACATACATACATACATATATACACATATATAAATACACAATAAAACAATAACATATAGAACAAATATAAATAGATAAATTATTTTTTAAATATATATACACATATATAAATACATAATAAATAAATAACATACTGAACAAAAATAACAATATAAAAATCAACAAAAATACAAAATAAAATGTGGAAAATACATATTAAAATAAAATATATAAATTATGAATGTATTACAAAAATATAGGCAACAGATAATAAAATAAAAAACTATTATATATACGTGTATATATATATATATATATACACAAGTATAAATAATAAATAATAACACATAGAACACATATAATAAAATAAAATCTATAATAAATTATATAATAAATATATATATAGTGGTTCATTCTGCTGTGGCGACCCCTGACCAGTAAAGGGATTTAGCTAAAGAAAAATAAATTAAAGAATATTTACATACATATATATAAATAAATAATAACATATGGACAATTTTAATACTAATGGTAATACTAATAATAATACATATATAAATATACATATATATAGATAATATATATGTATATTTAATAGATAATAAAATTAAAATACATAATAAATAACAACATATAGTACACATATATTAAAATTAAAAATATAATAAATAATTATATATATATAGCGGTTCATTCTGCTGTGGTGACCCCTGATAAATAAAGGGATTTAGCTAAAGGAAAATGAATGAAAGTATATATAATAACATATGGACAATAATAATAATAAAAATACAAAACATATAATAACAATAATAATAATAATAATAATAAATGACTCTAATGATGAGCTCTTCATCATGCTAGAATTCAAACTGTATTGACCTGGGGCCGCAGACAGGAAGCAGCAGCACATCTGGTAGCTCAGGGTGAGTGTGAACAGCTGGACATCTGCACTGCTGAAAACACACAACACTAACATAAACACACAGCACTACAAACTTACAATCAAAAAGTGATGATAATAATTATATGCATTTAAATACACACTCAAAAAAATGAGTGTGTCTGTGTTATGCATGGGTTATTTGCATGCTCTGATGACCTCTGATGTTCACATGCAGGCAAACAAAACAAACATTAAGTGTTTTAGTTAATATATCTATTTTATTTTATATTTCTATTTCTATTCCACACTATATTTAATTATAGATTCATTTGCATTTTAAAATAACTATTTTGCAGTTATTATATTGTCTCAGTTCATATTATCTTCATGCTGTTGTTTCGAGGAAATGTATTACTTTAATAAAATGTGAGTGTATTTGCACAGAATACACAAGAATTGAAACAAATAATTTGAGTAAGCTTTGAAAAATTTAAACCCGACATACACTCACCGGCCACTTTATTAGGTACACCCTACTAGTACCGGGTTGGACCCACTTTTGCCTTCAGAACTGCTTTAATCCTTCATGGCAGAGATTCAAGAAGATACTGGAAATATTCCTCAGAGATTTTGCTCCATATTGACATGACTGAGTTGCTGCCACATGATTGGCTGATTAGAATTTTGCGTTAACAAGTAATTAGACAGGTGTACCTAATAAAGTGGCCGGTGAGAGTATGTAACACGCAAACACACACAAGTACGTACAATCTGTTCCAGGTGCTGCTGCAGCCGGTGCTGGACGTCCCGCAGTGGGTGCAGGTGTGTGCTGACCCTCAGACAGGTGTAAAGAGGAGGATGAGACAAACACCACAGCAGAGCCTCAAACTGCTGCTCCGCTACACCTGCACCCAGCTCACACACCGCCTGCAGAACACACACACCAATTACGAAGCATTTTATATAGGGCAGCACGGTGGTGCAGTGGGTAGCACGATCCCCTCACAGCAAAAAGGTCGCTGGTTTGAGTCCCAGCTAGGTCAGTTGGCATTTCTGTGAAGAGTTTGCATGTTCTCCCCATGTTGGCGTGGGTGCAACAGTTTCCCCCACAGTCCAATCACATGCGCTATAGGAGAATTGGATTAACTAAATTGGCCGTAGTGTTTGTGTGTGAATGTGAGCGTGTATGGGTGTTTCCCTGTACTGGGTTGCAGCTTGAAGGGTATGCCTTGTGTAAAACATGCTGAAATAGTTGTCGGTTCATTTTGCCGTGGCCATCCCTGATGAAAAAAGAGACTTAACCGAAGGAGAATGAATTATTTATCCGCAGTGTGTACTTCTTTAATGTCAACAAACCTCGTCATTGGTGTAAACTGTATGGAGATGCTCCCGCACTTCTGGACTCATTGACAGCTGAGGGAAAACTGCCATATCCGCTTCTCACGAGGGAAATCACACAAAACACATCAGTATTAGTTATTTAAAACACTTTAAGTCGATTATTCATATAGTATTTAATAATGTCATGTAATAAAAGTTCTTACCTTATACAGTTCCTGCGTTTAAAATCAACTGAATGGAAATGAGAAACACGTGCGAGATGTTTGAGCGGCTTTTAGGAGAAACACATTAAATATTACACACAGATATTTTAGTGCTTTTTCCGTTAGATAAAATTAATTTATACTAAAACGCACATGAGATAGCCGAGGCGTCATTTATCTTAAAAAGTAAACAGAATTATTCGCTCTTCTTCGGCTTCTTGTCGTGTCGAGGGCGCGGAGGAACACCGACACCTGCTGGATCCGGATTGTACATTTACACTCTTAGTTTATTTAAAAACTTAAATTCCTGTGGTAAATTCCTATTTAAAACTACCCAAATAAAAAAATAAAATATAGATATTTTTTAAACACACATACAGTGTATATATTTGAGTAAAAAATCCAACATGCTTGTTCTGCGCCTATATAACATATATACACACCAGATTTTATTAGAATTTAAATTAATATAAACTTCTAGCCAATATATGGGTAAAATATAGTCATTTTAAAGACAATGGCAAAGTATAAAGACATCTAATGACCACAAATTTGTATTTTGGGGTTAACCTGTAATCGCTAGTGCGTCTTTTAATATTCTTTCTGAATTTACCTGTCAATATTTTTAGTATAGAAATTATTATTGCACTGAATTACATATTAATGAGTGTCTTCTGTCAATCATGGTAAAAATCAAATTTGTTTTTAGCTCAGAAATCAAAACAGGACACATTCTAATGTACATTACTGCGGTATTAAACTGCAAATGTACAACATAAAGCTGATTAATCATGCTTATGATAGTGCTTTTAATAGTTATAATAATTTGAATGTTTATTTTTATCAAAGTGCGTGCACTATAAAGTGTTGTTTAAGCATATAACAGAAGTCTTGTGGTCGATCCCAGTTGTAAGACCAAATAAAAACTGACTTCTAGTTGATCATTTGGAGTGGCAGGAGGAGGATTTCCCTGATGGATCATCTGTTGAGCGGCATCCTAATCATCACACATACTGCAGAAGACCTACTGGAACCAGCATGGAGCCAAGATTCTTACAGAAATCAGTCAAGTTTGGTAAAGAAAAAGTCATGGTTTAGGGTTACATTCAGTGTGGGGGGTGCGAGAGATCTGCAACATCAACAGCCTGAGGTATCAAGACGTGTGCTGCCCATTACATTACAAACCACAGCAGAGGGACAATTCTCCAGCAGGATAGCGCTCCTTCTCATACTTCAGCCTCCACATCAAAGATCCTGAAAGCAAAGGTCAAGCTGCTCCAGGATTGGCCAGCCCAGTCACCAGACATGAACATTATTAAGCATGTCTGGGGTAAGATAGAGGAGGAGGGGTTGAAGATGAACACAAAGAGTCTTGATGAACTCTGGGAGTCCTGCAGGAACGCTTTCTCTGCCATTCCAGATGACTTTATTAATCAGTGATGTGAGTCATGTCAGAGATGTATGGATGCAGTCCTCCAAGCTCATGATGGAGTCAGACACAATATTCATTCTGTCTCCACTGCAGCAGGACTTTATATTCTATACTGGACATTATTTCTGTTCAGTGACGAGACTTTAGTCTAAGCAGAGTCAGAGCTCACTGTCCTCATTAAATAATTAGAAATCAAGACATGATCAGATTTTATTGTGCTCAAATAAGCGTCATATAGAGGCCTTCACCTTTCATATCAGCCACTTCTGATACCAAATGATCAACTAGAAGTCAGGTTATTATTTGTTGTTCCTAAAACTTGAATAGGCAACAAGTCATTTGTTAGGTAATGTAGTTATACAAGGTAAGAATATATATTAAGCATAACTATATAAAGTAAATAGTGATATTATTTAGGCCAAAAAGAGGTTTATTTAGTATTTAGTCCAAGTTGCTGCCTAAAGACATCTGAACCAGTGGCATTGTGAGGGTGGGGGGGGGGGGGTTTGAGGGCTTAAGCCCCTGCTCTTTTGGAATTTTTTGCACTTAAACAAAAATAGGTTGTATAGCATTTATATTGTTATCCAAGTTGGGAGTGAGACTGTTATGGTTGTCACAAGCAAGTGTTAAAAAAAATCCCACCACTGTGCTGTCATCATTCATCCATTATTTTAAGGAGCTGTAGCTGATGAGGTAATACCACAACTGTTAGTAGTTCCAACAACTGATGAAGCTTAATATTTGTTTTCGCAGTATAAAATGTGTGGCTTTGGTGAAATCAAATAACTGTAATCGATAAAATGTGCGTCATATAAATGTAAATTAGTCAGAAACAGGTCAATTGTACTAGCTTTCTAGATATGATATAGATATCTATACATATTAATCTAGATCTGATATAGCCAGTCACATACGTTTCTGTAATCCAGTGGTCACCAAACTTGTTCCTGGAGGGCCGGTGTCCTGCAGATTTTAGCTCCAGCCCTAATCAAACACACCTGAACAAGCTAATCAAGGTCTTACTGGGTATACTTGAAACATCCAGGCAGGTGTGTTGAGGCAAGTTGGAGCTAAACCCTGCAGGGACAATGGCCCTCCAGGATCAGGATTGGTGACCCCTGGGCCCGGTTTTTCAAAAGGTTTAATCCGGATAAAATTTATCCGGATTTAGTAATCCTGTTTTTGCAATCCGTGATCACGTAATCCAGCTTACTTTTTGAGCCAGTTTTTCAAAGCAACATTGGATTGGATCATTCTGATCCAGATAGGAACTTTTCAGGATCACTAAATCTGGATTACCAGTGCTCAATCACAATGTAGATGGATAGATAGGCCTATGTAAAGAGCGACAAGTAGAACAGCCAGTGTGGGGTAAATATAAATTTATTTTTATTCGAAATGAAAACTAAGAAAATTTTATAAAATAATAAAATAATTATAATAATAAATAATAAAAGCAAGAAAAACCGCACCCCATCCTCTTCCAGCAGTCTGCTCATCTGAGATCTACAACACTGTACATTGAGGATATTTATAATAAGTTTCAAATATAGATGTATTGAATAAAAAAAAAAAGAATGTTGAAACCTCCACAATAATGTCAGACTTCCTTATCTGATGTGGAGGGAGCAGCTTGTCTGAGAGTATTCTTTAGGAGGCAGATCTCAATTGTGGTCTTGGTTTGCTGCAGTTTGGTCAGAGTCAGTTGTTCCTTTGCCAGATGAAGCTGAACTTCTGTCTCTTTTTGCAATTATTGAGTGATTTCAAAAATCAGGCATTGCCATTTTTTGAATTTTTTTTTTTTGTTATTCTGTTATCATTGCATGCATCACTAATAAATATTCTAAACACAAAAATATTTTCCATTGTGATTAATATATATATATACAGAATATTGTTTTTGGTAAATTTTGACAGCTGTTGGGGGATTATTTTATGAGGCCAAACTCTTTCTAATTTGCTGTTGGCCTACACTGAAAGGCTGAATATGTTAAAGTCTATAATCACTATAACCTGAAAGATGAACAAATAAAATTATAACCTTATGAATAAATAGTATATCTCGTAAGATACTGCATGATCCAAATATAGTTTTATTTAATAAATTGTTTAAGTTTTCATTACATTTTGGGCATGAAATCCACGCTAAATCCATTCTTCTGATGGGATCAGTTTAATCCAGGTTTTTTGGATCAAAGTGATCCAAATCCTACAAAAAAGGTCTGAAAAACCCAAACTAAAGGTTTGATCCAGATCAAAACCAAGATTAGATTATGTGATCTTATCCGATTATGTAATCCGTTTTTGCTTTTGAAAAACCCATTTTCAAGATTTGATCCAATCCCTTATCCAAAATCCTAGTGGATTACTTTTGAAAAACCGGGCCCTGATGTTATAGTTGAATCACAGTGAGCTCATGCATCTAGCTTATTATTTCTTAGCTATATTCTACTGTAATATGCTATGTCAGTTAGCATCGAATTATAAATCATGACTATTTTTGGGGTAAGCCAAAGACCCTAGAAACTCTCCTGGTCTGAACAATATTTAACAGGTATGTTCTTCACAGTTATAAAGGAGTAATTACACACACACATATATATATAAATACACATTCATTCATTCATTCATTTTCTTGTCGGCTTAGTCTCTTTATTAATCCAGGGTCGCCACAGCGGAATGTACCGCCAACTTGTCCAGCAAGTTTTTACGCAGCCCATCTCTGGGAAAATATAAATACACAGTTAAATGTAAAATAATTTGCCCTCCTATAAAATTTTAATCCTTTTATTAAATATTTCCCAAGTGCTATTAACAAAGCAAGGAATATTTCACAGTATTTCATGTCATTTTTCTTCTTCAGTATAGATTCTGTATAGATAATATTTCTCTCCTGTTTCTTTTTTTTTTTTTTTCATTTTTAAGGTAAATAACATTTAGGTTTCAACTGGCTACAGAACAAACCGTTATTTATTTCTTCATTTAAATATATTTATACAGATTTACGAATGCTTTTTAAACATGCAAACTATTGTCAAACAAAGAACGCACGCGTCGAGAGCTTTTAATAAGAGTGATTTATTGAAAATACTTAATATTATAAAATGTAAAAATTCAGTTAGGCAATGAAATCAAATGAGATCGAATGCATGTAACTACAATCAACACGTTCACATTTGTACTGCCTGAATGAGGAAAAAAACGAGAGGTCTGAGATCATCAAGTTACGTCGCATTATAGCATAAAAACCGCAGACATGAATAAAACGTGAACACATGATCCACGAGAGCCCTGAACTTAATACTTTCACCAATTAACAGAAAGGTGTGATGAAGAAAGTGGAATCTGCTTAATTTGCACACACCTAAAAATCAAAACAAAACACTGGAACATGAGATTTAGCCAAAAACACCACCAAAAACAAAACAGTGCAGCTTTACCTTGGATTTTAAAAGCCGTATTACACAACAGAGCGACTTTAACTGTGTGTTCTGTATTATAAACCATGAGCTGAATACTTCACATATGCAGGAATAAACGCGCACGTATGCATTACTCTTCCAGTATATTTGGGAATAAAGGTTAACGTTGGTTTCTGGAGGGTGAACGGACAGCACAAGATTTCTCTAGCCTAAAAGGGGGGGGGATGCTTAAAAAGGGTTGTATTATTTATGTATTTTTAATCGTCTTTGTCTTTGGCTCCGTGTTTCAGGATACGGGTGAACTCCACGTAGTTGAAGTTGCTCTTTTTATCGATCGGAGCTTCTCTGAACAGCTCATCCACTTCTTCGTCTGTGAATCGATCGCCCATGGTGGTCAGCAGCTCTCGCAGATAATCCTC